CCCCCCCCACTCACACCGGCAACCTATTTAACTTTTTTTTTTTTTTTTCCCAGGAGCCATCTGCGCTCGATGCTGGCCATTTCTTATTTCTCAAGCGTGAAGAAAAGAAAGGTGGACGTGTTTGCGTTTCCCGCTGGAGACCCCCACCCTTGAGTTCCATCATGGCCACCGTCGGTCTCACCCAAGTTTGTTTCGGGTATGAGTGATTTCTTTCCCAGCATGACCTAGCGAGCGATCCCTCCGACCGCCCGCTCCAGCGCGTTGCTCCTTCTTTGTCTCCGTTCACGCGTGCGTTCCTCCGGCTCTCTTTCCCTCTCTAGGTCATGACGTTGTATCGAAGGAGACAGGCGGCGTGCTTTGGGGAGGCCACCTCTGCCCCGCCTGACAGCTTGAGTTACGCCAACGCACGAACGGCGCCCCGGCCCCGAAAGCCCCGAGCGGCCGGCCCCGACGACCCCGTCACCTCCGACCTCCCGACCCGCGCCGGTGTGGGTGTCGCGCGCCCAGCTGGATGAGGCGACCGACCAGGTGAGGAGACGCGACCGGAAATGACGGGAGAAGTGGAGCCGCCTGCGTTGCGGCGATTCAACTGGGGAGGGGAGCGGAAATTTGCTGGCAACGTGAAACGAAATGTCTTCCGAATGAGCCGAATATGCAATAGTTCAACTTGATTTCATTATTTTCTTTTTTTTTGGATGCAATTCTGTCATTTGCTGGCTGAGTAAATCCCAACGGAAGCCGACCGGACGGCTTCTTGGAGAAGTTGTGATGACTTTGCCATTGTCGCCCTTTTTTGGAGTTGACGTGAACGCCGGCGCGATGCCGCCCGAGCACTTTGCGGCGACGGGGGCTCCGAGGGGCTTAGCGTCAGGGCCTCCGTCTCCGTTTTGACGGCGAGAGCAATTAGCTCGTTAGCGTGAGCGCCGGATTAGGCTCGCCTCGTCGCTTTAGCAAGCAGGCGGCCGTAACAATAAGGCCCGCCCGCGACAGTCACGCCAGCAACAAGGAGGCGGCGACGCGCCGCTGATGTCCTTCGCAGCTGGCCTCGCGTGTAACCGGCTGCCAAACGGCCCGTCGGACGCTTCCCGGGCCTCCCCCGCCGCCATTGTTCATCGCCGTAGGAAGTTTGGGCTTTTCCGTCGGGCGGCGGCGGCCGCCTCCGTGGCCCCCCGCGACCCTCGCGTGACCCGCACGCACAATGCGAAGAAGCGAGCCAAAGTCATTGCGGCCCAAAAAAAAACAAAAGGCTCAACAATGCAAGATAACAAATCGAGGAAGTAGTTAAGAACCAATCATGAAGATCAATCAACAAATAAATAGCCAATCCAAAAACTAGTTACCAGGAGGAACTCAGTCCGAAAAATAGAGAATCAAGAACCGGTCAAAACCAAGTCGAGAACCCAGTAAAAAAGGAAAAACAGTCAAGATCCAAAGAAGGAGTCAAAAACGAGTCAGAAGCAAGACGAGAACCAGGCAAGAGACGCACCTGGAATCCCAAAAAAGAAGAATTGTTTCAAACAAAGTCGATTCCAGTTTATTTCAGTCAAAAGCAAGTCCAAAAATAAGTCAACAGAAAAAAAAAAAGCGCCGCAAAAGAATCCAAGTGCACAGTTGCCAAGTGGTGGCGCCATATGGTTTTGCCTCACCCGTCGCTCTCCTCGTGGGCCTCCGTCGTCATCTAAACGGCTTATTTGGGATTTTTTTTTAGGGGGGGGGGGGAAACGGTGTCGCGTTTCTGGAGGTCACGACGGGATCGGCGCCACAATGCCGCAGGTGCGCCATTCAGCCCTCAACTTGATTAACGCCCGCCTGTCAACAAACGGGCCGGGGCGGGACCCCGCGTCCTTGGCGGATTCCCTTACGGAGCCGGCGATCCGAGCGGCCGGGACAAAAGGCGGAGGCGTCCCCGATCCGGCCCCGGGTTCCAACCCCCCGGACCTCCGGTTCCTGCCGGAGGTCCGGCTCGGGCGGACAGGTGTTCCCATTTTACCGCGGGAGACAAAGTGGGCCCGAACTCGGCCCCGGTCGGGGAATTTCATCAACTTGATGCACTTTATGCGAGTGTCAGGACAGTGACAGAACCCGCGAGTGGCGGGGTCATTCCCACAGCCTCTCGCCGGTAACACAAGCGCAGCGTTTTGTGCTTCGCATTTCGCTTGCCACAAAGCGAGAGTAACAGATACAAGAGACTTTTTCTTCCGTCGTCGCCTGAGAGACACTTCGGCCCATCGGCTCTTCCGGGCCCGCCGGCCCTCCATTCCCCAAATAAATGTGCGCGTCCAACGTTGACATTGGATACGCGGCCCGCGTCGTTTGCTAGCATGGTACTGCGGCGGCGCATTGCTATAAGAGTGAGACGACTTTTTTTCCAGCCGGACGATGGAAATACACACACTGGCGTGTTCAATGTGTGGTCTGGCCATTTTATGTGTACAACACTGCCCTCAGGTGGCCGAAGCGCGCACACCACGAAGAGTAGCACAATGTCGACTGGGTTGAAACCAAAACATCTGGCAAAACTGCTTCATGTCTTTCCACTCGACATATTGAACTGTCAACGCTCTGTGGTTTCAAGAGTACAAGATTGTAAAGTGACGTTTTCCTTGTTTACAAAAAAAAAAAAAGCTAATTTTGGGCTGGACGGAAGGCAAAAGATGATTTGAAATCCGACCGATTTGTGTTACAAGTGTGATCAGGGAACAAATTCAATTTGAATCTCAAGGCAACACCAATAAAAAAGCAAAAAGTCCATTTCAAGCATGGCATTGTCATTTGCGGTGTCTTTTTAAAAAGTAGAAAAATCAACTGTACTCGCAAATCAATCGCCCCCAATCTCCAGAAGGATGCCGCAGCAACTGGACTTTTCGACATCCCGGGACATCACGTCAACGGAGCGGTCGTGTGACCGCGAATGTTGTCTTTAATTACGCCTCCGATTGGACGCCCGAGCTAACAAACACGGCGACATCAAAAGGTGCGCTTTAGTGCAGCGCTCAGCTGATTTGCGCTGCTCCCGGCGCGCCAAGGCAAACACGGCGGAGGCCAGAGGCTTCATTCATTTCGGACCCCCGCCCCCGCCCCCCTTCAACCACAGAGGGGGGTTCAGTGCGAGGTTAGTCAAATAGAGCGAGCTCAGCCTGTGCACACTGTCCATTAACTGGGAAAACATGTGTGCCCATTGTTTTCATTCACAGGCTAACCTCAACACCAAAATACACACAAGCCCTGCGAAATTACTCTCAAAGCAAACATCCCCCGATATTTTTCGTCTTTTGGAGAATATTTTTGAAGAGGACCGATTGCGGAGCGAGGGTGGCGTCGGGGTGGAAAAGACGCAAAGTTGCCGTTGAATTGACATTGGAAGCTACGTTTTGCGTGCTCGTAGGTTGAATGTTAGCGTGTTAGGTGTCAAGAGTCCGCCGTAGACGAAAAGAGCCCCCCCCCACGCCCCAAAAAAATGTCCACAACACGATAAAACTCTTCAACTTCCTTCAACGTCGTGGCCACCAAATTACGACTTTGGTCGACACGATGCGGCTCAAACGAGAGCCGCTCGTCAGCGTGAGAGTGACGCACGGACGGACGGAGAGACTTCCGAAGCGGGCGTGCTTGTTGAGCCATAAGAAAAGCGGCTTTCGCTGACCGTGCAAAGGAAACAACGCTGTGGGAGCGAGCCGCTCGGTAGCGGCCCCGTCGCTTTCAATCAAGCCTGAAATATGACTCGACTGTCTGAGCCCCGCCAAAGTCGCCAGCCGCCGTCATCCCTCGTCCGCTTTCCTCGCTTTCACGCCGGCGCAAATGCGGCGTTGGCAGAACGTGAAGTACGTGGGCACTTGAATGGCGTGGGTGTCGGCCCGATATGACCTTCATTTCAGGTATCGGGTACTCGCGGTGGTTGACGATACCAGCCGCCGATACTCCGGGCAAAAAATTCCAACGTTCGGTCCTCCTCGGCAGTAGTTGACGCTGCGCTACAGCTCAACCTCCATTTTTGTGGTTGTTGCTTTTAATGTCAGGCATTTGAAAAAGAATTTGGAAGTGAGGAGGTCAGCTGACTTCACAGTAAAATACATTATTTTTAAATTCATTGAACAGAGAGGAATGCAAGTGTGAAATGGGACATCCCACTTCATCTATTTGGAAAACACGGAGCTAATTGCAGGTTTTGCATTTTGACTGCTAATAAAAAAAATGACAATAAGAACGGTATTTGTAGGCGGCAAACGCATGGCACCCTCGACTCGCCTCCAAGTCCAAAAGTTGGAAAAATGTCGACCAACAACCACCCCGACGTGCTGATTAGCAGCAGGGTGACGGACACCCGAGCCAACAGAAAGCGAAAAAAGAGAAACGTGTTGCAGCCAACCCCCCCCGCCGCCGCCTCCGTCCAATCAAAAGTTTACGTGTTAAAACGTCGGGATTACGGCTCCCGCAAAACACTTGGCGAGCAATTTGGAGGATTTGTCACCGAGACCAAGAAGAAGAAGATTGCGCATCAAGTCTCAACGACCCCCCCACCCCTCCCGCCCTTCCCCCCACTGTCAGAAAAAAGTTAAGAACATCGTGGACACGGTGGATGGATGATTTAAAAAAAAAAAAATGAGAGAGAGCGAGAGAGAGAGAGAGAAAAGAAAATAAGCGTCATTTTTTCCTGCAGGCTGTTGATGAACATTCCCAATGTTGCTTACATAAACTTTGACCCCTCTAATGCAGTAATGGAGGGGGAGGCCAACACACAACAGGCAGGCTCGAGCTCGCCAAATAAACGGCTCACACAAGCTCTTCAAAGATCAAATTGTTTGGCAAACAATAGAAAGAAAATCAAGCGCGGTTCCTTTTCAAGACACGCCGCTCTTTTCCGTTCGGCTCCGCCGGCCTCCGCTCAAGTGGATTTCTCCAGCGCTTTCAAACAACCGGCCCTGTCTACCGAGCGCCGTACGTGCGGCAAAAAACCAACACAACGATACATGGATAACGCAAACGGGAGAAAGCGCGGCAACCGTGCAGCTCCAAATGGAGCCTCAAAAGCCCAACGATAAAAAGCAAGGCCGAGGGATGCCAGAGCGGGAGTTCTCTGCTCCCTCTTGATTCGAGTCGCGGTCACGAGGCGAGCGGCGGCATTCTGGACCAACTGGAGACGCTCGGTGGAGGATTGGCTGACTCCAAAGTCGAGCGCGTCGCAGTCCTCCATCCGGGATGCGACGAAAGCGGCGGCGGCGATCTCGATTCCATTTTTGTTTTGACTTTTACACGACACCGAAACAAAAAAGGAAAAAGCGTCGTGCGCCCAATCTGTGACAGCAAGTTTCTTTCTGCAACTTTTCCAGGCGGGCGAGTCATTACGGCTTAGCCGGCCGGTCCCGCTTTCTCGAAAGCGCGCCGCATTCTCGCATTTCCCGTTTGCCTGCTCAACATCTTAGAAGGTTTTGCTTTCTTTCTTCTGCCCTAAACTGCGCCACTCCGAAAATACACACAACACACTGAGGTGTGTGTGAGTGTGTGTGTATGTGTGTCTGTGTGCTCGTGTGAGAGAGAGAGAGAGAAAGTGAGAAACGAGCACATTACTTCCCTCACGTGTTACAATAAATATTTCCATTTATATGCAAATGATGATCTAGTGACCAAGAAGAAGTGGATAAAGCAAAAATGGAAAAAAGCGGGTGGGGGGGGGGCTGCAGGTTTTGTTTTGCGTCGCGTGGCCGCCGTGCGACAGAAAGAAGGCGAGCGAGGCCGTCAATGATCTCGCGCCTTCTCTTATTTCGAAGGTCAGCGTCAGACTTTGAAGTGGTTGCGAGCGACTCGTTTCCGAATCTGCGCCAGCGCGCCGCGCCGAATGCCGCCACGTTTGTGCGGCCAACAAAATCCAAAAGTTGCAATCGTAAAAAAAGGAAAAAAAAGTGGATGAGTCCAATCAGGTCCTTTCCAAGGACTCGCTTTTCCCCCCGAGAGAAAACCCTGCAAGGTAACCAGAACTAAAGTTGAATCAAGGAGTCCTGTTTATTTCCAGATCAATTGATTATTTTCTTTTAAAATGCCAATCAGAATTGACACCCATTTCTGGCTTTCTGGATTTAAAAAAAAAAAAAGAAAAAAATCTGCAATTGAACAAGAAGAAGTCATATTTATTTTGGGAGAAGAAATATTTTATTTTAAAAAAAATCTGAATTGGGTTTTTTTTTCTCCATCAAAAAGTTTGAAATTTAACAATGGAAAAAAATGTTTCTTTTCAAGAAAAAAAAGTCGTCATCGTAGGAAAGGAACGGCATTTCTACCCCACGAGAATTCTATTTTAATAGTCACAATATTACAAGATTAAATGTCTAAATTATTGACACTTTCTTTTGGATAATTTTCTCAAAACAAAATTCTGAGAGTAAAGTTGTATATTTTCAAGGAAAAGTTCGAATATTCCGGGAAGAAAAAAAAAATATTTATCTATATTTCTATTTTTTATTTTAACCAAACAGTCCAATTTTCTCCTAAGAATTGTATCGTCGCAGGAGAGGAAAGATGCATTTCTTTTGTATGAAAGTGTTTGTCGGTGAAAAGTTGTTGCATTTATGCCGTGGCTGGCGTGCGCCATGCAGTGAGTCAATCAATCAATCAATCAATCATCTTTGTCGCTCCATTCTATCCTTTGGTCGACTGCCTTGAAAGCAAACTTCCAAGTAGTTGGAAGTTACTTGAAAGTGTACTGGTGTGCCGTGCTTTGCTGACTTCCTCCCAAATTGCTGACATAATTACACGAATGTCATTTTTTATGACTCGCAGTAGAAGGAGGCGGAGGGCGGCGATGGCGGGGGGGGGGGCGGCAGCATTTCCACTGAAGCAGATAATTAGAGTCGGAATAAAGCAGGGGCGGAATAATTAATACATCAAAACTAGATGAACTTTTTCTAATTATTTTTATTTAATCTCCATTCTAATTATTGTTCTAGTCGGCTGAGCCAGATTGCCTGCCCTCATTCACGGCTGTGAAATGCACCCGTGGCGCTCAATCCGCACGCAGCCAAACATCAACCGCGCCGCCAAATCGCGGGGTCCCCCGCCCCCCCCCCCCCCACACACACACACACACACGCCCCACTACCGACTATGTGATTGAACTGTAATTTAAATTCCTCCACTGCAAAACAAATAATTTGCATCCACCTGCCGCACTCCTCCGCTTCTTCTTGTGGAAGCGCTTTTCCTTTATCGGCCTGGCGGGTGGCGAGCAGCCCCTTTGAAAGCAATTGCTTCATTAGCATCGTTAAATTAGCGCCAACGAGCAAAAGCTGCTGACCGCACGTCGCGGGAAAATTTCACGGGGGACAAGTCGCAATGTGACGTCCTCAAAACTTCGAATTTACCGCGGGCAAAAAAAAAAAAAAAATCCGAGTCCAAAAAATGACAACAAATCGTAATTTTTTAAATTTTTTTTAGGGGCGTGGGGGGGATCTAAATCTGTTTTTGCTTCCAATAATGACTGACGTGAATTTGCTCACGCGCATCGTTGATCTCCAGGCGGCTCCGAGCGCACTGACGGCGAGTCACGTGAAAAAAAGTTGAACGGGGAAAAAATGCGAGTCGATCAAAAGACCCCAAATCAACATTGCCGTCATTATTGTCAATAGAAAATCTTGTGAAATTGAAACTTAACAAGAAAGGGACTCTTAATATCATGGGAATGCGGTCCTATTTTTCTGTTGGGTTTTTTTTTCTCTTCTTTTTGGTTTGTGCTCGTTTCGAATCGGAGAAGTCTAATCTGCCGGTGTCATATCTGCCTTTGAAAGCGCTGACTTGCTGATATGAGAAGAAAATAAAAAGAAGTGCGCAGCAGTGGCCGCTTCACAGCCGCTTGATGCTCAGATTGCAGAAGAAAGAGAAAAAAAAAAGAGAGAGGGCGGGGCTTTCGGGGAGCTTTCGGGGGGGTGGGGGGGGGGGTTTGGGGGGGGTTTGGGGGGGGGGGGGTTGGGGTGCGCGTCAGATTAGGAAGTAATGCAAGTCAGCTAAATAAAAGGCGAAAGCTTCATCACAAGCATGAAATTAAAGTCGTGCACGGCGACGAGATTCAAATGAAAATAAAAAGTCATGTTGACTAAATTCAAATTGCTGCTCGATTAAGGCACAAAACAAGATCCGATTTAATTAACATCAGATTTAATTGAGGCTCCCGCGATTCAAGACGGGCTTTTTTTTTTCTTCCGCTCCTCAGTAATTGAACGGCATCGCGATTGAGGCCACAAACATATTCCGTTTATTATGATGATTATTATTAGGATTCTTATTAGTAGTCGTGCTATTCCTTTATGGAGCGGGATCATTAATTGAATTAAAGAGATCATCTGCTTTTGGCTGGCTGGTGCTGCCGCGCATTTTTCTTTGGGGCCCCTGAGTGAGTGAATGAGTGAGTGAGTGTGCGTGTGAGAGCGTGAGACATCCCGCCAACCTATTCCATTTAGGATGACTCGTCTTCTGATGTGCCAGGAGCGATGCATCGTTTTTTGTCATCGCTGCTTTTGGAGGAGCGATTCCTCCAAGCGTGTTCGCCGCTCGTTTTGTTCCCGGGAGAACCTTCTACATCTTGTCGGGGCTCAGCCGCTTCTCCTTCTCCTGCTTTTCCTTCTTGTTCTTGTCATGTTCCTTCTCCTCCTTCTTCTTCTCCTCCTCCTCCTCCTCGTCGTGTTGGTGAGGATGAAAAGGCGATAGTGTGGTGTTATCAGTGTGTTGTATTATTTCTTCAGGCCACTATTTGGCGATTATCTCTTGCTGCTATCTGCTCATGTGCGGCTGTTGACTCCTGTTGGGTCGCCCAGGCAGTGCCCCCCCCCCCATCCCCCTCTACTCTTTCTCTCTCTATCTCTTCAGGGGCTGCAGTGACACCGTGTGGCCGGGCGAGGAGCTGCAGCAGCAACCAACAGACCCGGCGGGTCAAACGTGTTCGCATATGAGGACAGGTAGCAGATCTAAGTGGCTGAATTTTTGTTTGTGTAAGTGTGCGTTCGTGTGTTGGTGCGAGTAGGCGGGTGGGTCTTTTCGTATGGCGGCCGCCCGTACGTGTCGGCGGCGTCACGCTCGGTTTGCGAGCGGTGACGCGTGCGTGCGACCTGCGCGTCTTGTTGGGGAATGCGGTTCGAGGCCTCACCCGGACTTGACCCTGGCGGAGGTAAAACAAACACAGCGCAACGCCAGGACGGTTCGAATAGTTTTCCACTCGATGACAAACAACAATGCTCGAGCAGGTGAATCCCCACAACTGACAGGTTGCAATCGTCACCTGCAACAAGGAAGCGCCGATGGCGTGACCCTCTCACGATTTGATGTGGGAAAATTCCACAATGCCAATGTTAGCTTTCAGTTAGCCTTTTGCATTAGCTTTATAATATGCTTCTGTAGCATTGAAGCCGGTCCATTGATGTTTCAGCCGTGTGAGCGTAGCTTCTAAGTATCAAAAAATGGACGTCTAATGTTGTGTTTCAGCTGAGCATTTTGCACAAGCTGTCAGGTTTCGTCTTGTCTTTGAATCGTTCAGCATATCGCTGGACTCTTGAGTGCTCTTACTCTGAAATTGGCCAAATCCTGCCTGTGGAAATGCTCATGTTAGCTTTTAGTTGAGCATTCAACATTAGCTGGAGCGTGTAGAATTGGGAGTTAAACCGACTACGCTTAGCCTCAATTGATCCGACTTGATTCTTTGGGAGTGTCTTTCATTTGATCAAATATTAGCTTTTAGCTTTGCATTAGCAGTAGGGTCGAGTTAAATAGCATGGATGGTGGGGTGTTTACCATTAGGCTACTCGTGTGTTTGATTTGGAGTTAAAAAATAAAATAAAATAGTGTTCCAGAAATTTACTTGACTGTAAATTGCTTTATCTTCATGTTAGCAAAATTAGCATTGCGCTAGCAGAGTTCCAAATGGATTTGGGGCTGGGAAAAAAAAAAAAAAAAAAAGTGTCACTTCAGCCTTTGACGCCGCACCGCAGGTTTTGCTTGCGCCGTATCATCCCAGCCACCCTCGAACCGCCGGTTCAATTAGCCATCGCGACCTTGACCATGAAGGTCAGCTGGCTTTGGAGGAAAAAGCCTCACAAGACCACAGAGAGGAAGATGGATGTGTGTGCGTTTCACTGCGAGCGTGTGCATGCGTGTGTGCATGTGCGTGTGTGCATATATGTGTGTGTGTGTGTGTGTGTGTGTGTGTGTGTGTGTCTTATCTGTGCAGCTTGCTGGAGTTTTAAATTATTCATCCTCCTCCTCCTCCTCCTCCTCCTCCTTCGCCTTTGCCGCCTTCCACATCTCCATCACACGGCTGCCCGCATCCGCCCGGGGAGCAGGCGGTCGCCACGGCAACCTTATCGCAGATCGCAGATTTGGGGCTCCAGAAATGAAATAAAAGAGGAAATTGGCTGTATTAGCATAAGAGGAGTCAGCCCGGAGTTGAATACACACATCACCCCCTACACACGCACACACACACACCACATCATCACCCCCCCATGCTCCCAGCAACAGCCCCACCCCTTCCCTTTCTCCTTATCTGATGCCAGCTATATATTTTTTTTCTAATTCGACTCTCCTTTGTTCCTTCATGAAGAAGACGAATACGTGGGGGGAAGAAAAGCGTCTGTGTGTTACCTCGAGCCGAGAAGAAGCTGCCGCCGCCTGTGATTGACAGCTCACTTTATTTCCCTCCTCCTTATTTTGTTGATTCAACGGGCGGTGTTTGTTTTTTACGGAACGGCAGGAAGCTTGTGAGTAAACTGTCTCCAGTTTTGGCGCCGCCCATGATTTTGAAAATGTTTTGGAAATGTCGCAAAAATATATTTGGTATATCTTCCCGTGATATTATCTTCTCGTTTTGTTGTTTGCATTTCTCTTCTCACGTGCCAACCCGTAATTTCGGGTGCCAATCGATAATGTTGGCCGGAACGCCCCGAGCCCGCCTTCTCCCCTAATTGAAGTTAAACAGCTGACAAATATAACCCTCCTTTTGCCCCCCACTCCCACAGGCCCGCTTCTGCGTCTCCCCGCGCACACCCCGGCCCCACCCACAGATGCTTATAAATGTCAACATACGCTCCCACTTAGACTGACACTCCCCCGGGGACAACAGCAAGTGTTTCTTATGCTAATCACTTATCTTCCTCTGGCGGCCAGCTTTTGGTGCGCCAAAGAACGGGGGTTGGTGGGGAGGAGGGGCGGGGCTTCAAACGGGGGATAATGAGACCACCGCATCTCAGCCGGGGTGAAGTAACCGAAACCGATCCGTGGAAGTCCAAACCAACTGATGCAAGTTCAAAACCCACACTCGGAAGTCCAAAACTGTCCCGTAAAAGTGGAAAAGCATCCATGGATGTCAAAACTGATCCACGGAAGTCCAGAACCTACTCAAGGAGCTCCAGAACTGACTCAAGTGCAACGTTTACCCCAAACCAAGTCGTGGAAATCTAACATTGACCCAAGGACTTCCAGAACCAACTCTTGGCGGTCTTTCATTGAAAAGAACCCCGTTTCTGCTGCTCTGTCTGCGTCTCACCACTCGGTGGTGCTGCCCCAAATCTGATTTAAAGCGGTGCTCACGCTTCCTCAGTGGTCCTCGCCATGTGCGGCCCACGTGCGAATTGTCATCACCGTCGAAACGCCGGGAGCCCGCGGCGACGGCCCGCCCACACGACACCATGTTGGCTAACGGGAAGTGAGACGGCAAGACGGGCAGACAATGGATCTTCGCCGGCCTCAGCGTCCCACGCTCGTCCGGGCTCCCTGGCCCCCGGCAGATAACCGGTCCGTGTCCAGGATCCGATCCCGGGCGTGTCACTGGAACGGTTCTGCCGGAGGGGGGGGCCGGGCAGCGTGGGCGGGGCCGACGCGATACCGCCGAGGGGCCCGCGGGTAGCGGCGTGAACAGTCGGCGTCCCATCTTGTCCGTTCAGACGGCGCTGGTCACGCTCCATTTATGGGAGCGCTTCACGGTCCCACGCCGCGTTTGGACCGGTCGCTCGGACGGCGTCTGAGCGTGGTGGAAGAGAGATAGAGAACCTTTGGAACAAAAGCGATTGAAACGAGTGTCAAGAAGATGAAGAAGGAGGCCATGTTGGGAATCACTCCCGATCCACTGACGCCCTCAATAGTGAGTGCGCCGTTTGCTGCTGCTGTTTGGATGTGCAGTGAGTCCGGCGTTGCGCCAACTCTCCGCAATTTGCCACCTGCAGATGTTCCTATTTGCTGAAGTTTGGCCCACCGTATCCTCACCTGTTGTTTGCGCCCTGTCTCATGTCAAAGTATCGCTTTGGGGCCATCCTTCTGCTGTGCCCGCTTTGGCCACCTGGAAACCGAAGGATTCAGACACGCGCTGGACGTGGAGCCACGTCTCAACAAGGCGCAGTCGCGTTTGCCGTTCTTTCCTGAGGATAAAGAATAGATACCCAAGAGCGTCGTGTGTGTTTGCTCTCTTTGTGTTCAGATATCCGAGGATTCCGAGCACGGAGGAGGACTACGCTTCGGCGGACGCGACATGTGAGTGTCGGAGAAAGAAAAGTGAGTGAAGTTTGAGTGTAAGTCTGAAGATGATATGGAGGAGGAGGAGGGGGCGCGACAACAATGACAAGATGGCCTCCGCATGCGGGCCCATCCTAATTGCCGCGTGAGGATAACGTGAGGACGAGCGAGTGTGGGCGCCGTCTGGCTCCGCTTGAAAGTCTTCACGGTGGACATCACGCAGCGACGAGTGGGATTCTTCTCGTTGTTCCCGCGGTGTCGGCGTCCTGCGGCTCATCTGATTGGCCGGCGTGGGAAGCGCACAACAATTCCCAGGCGGACAATGGAAGGCGAACTCGGGCGCGGCGATGCCAGCGCAACACGCTTGTTCCCCAGCCGCGGGGGCGGGATTTGTCCCACTTTTCCAGAAGCGATGGTGAACGGAATGGACTCGGGAGATTGCGGCCGCGGCGCCGCTTCCCAAACGGGCTTTTCTCCCACCGTGCAATCGCTCGCCGGGCGCCCCCGACACTTCTTCCTGTCCCTTTCGTCTCCCTTTTTCCAACTCTCTTCGTCGGTCTCGTCTCATCGGCAAATTTGGGAATTCATCAAGCCTTCCGATGGACAAAACGATGGTCGCATCGTCAGTAACGTTAGCCTTGAGAATTTTCCCAAATCAAACAAACACGACAACAGAAATGGCCGATACTTTCGGCAGTCGAGCCTCAAAAACAAGCACTGCATTGTTTGAGCGCATCTGCTCGAGAAGCCGCCACACAGTCAAAGAAAGTTTGGGCAACCTCATCAAACTGGCACACTTTTATTTTGAAGGCCTGCTTTTTGATGGATTCTTACGCCGATGTTGTGTGTGTGGGTGTGTGTGTTAGGTGTGGGAAAAGTGACATCCGTGTGCGGGTCTCCCTCCCGCGAGTTCAAACGAGTCGCTGCGTTGACCCTCGGCTGACGTCCATGTTTGGGCGAGGCTTCCACCTGAGCGTGGCGGCGTCGGGGTGGGGGCATCTTCTGGCGTCTCGCGTTCCGCTCAGACAAAACAAAACTTCTGACATCAAAAGTCGTCCTTTTCCCGACCTCGCGTCGCCTCGTTTTATCGCGCTCTGCAAACTCCTTCGAGGCCCTCCCAGGAGCGGGAGGGTCGGCGGGTGCGGGTGCGAGTCCGTGAGTGATGAAGTTTGTGAGTGAACGTGACTGCAGCCTAATTATAATTTCAAAATATGTCATCATCATGATCATTTATAAATAATGAGACATTATTTCAGCCGAACGTGAGAGAGCATGATCCAAAAATTATTTGTCGTGATGGAGGATAAAGAATATATGCCAATGTCTATTGTCATATTGCCTGTGTTGTTCCCCCGTTTGTGTTCAAATAGCCGTTGTTTAAAGAGTTGTAACAGCGCAACTGTCAGTGCTGGGTGTTGGCTGGACATTTGGGGGCGGGGGGGGGGGGCACAACGCATTTGCCTGTCAAACATGAATGAGTGCGAGTAGAGTGCGTGTGAGAATGACTGAGTGAGTGTGTCCCGTGTGCGCGTGCGTGTGCAAACAATGCAATCTCCGTGGCCCATGGCAAACAATACGGCGCCCGCGTGCGGTGTCTCAGTGTGATAAGACGAGCAAGGTAATCAATGCTGTAATGAAGGGACGGGGGGGGGGGGGGGGGGGGGGGGCCGAAGCGGGGTCCTATCACGCGCACTCATCAATGGAATTTATAAAAGTGTGTGTGTGTGTGTGTGTGTGTGTGTGTGTGTGCTTGCGCGCGCGTGGCGGCGTGACAAACGCACCATCTTGTGCGCGCCAGAGATAAGCACTAAATAATTGCGGCGTGACAGCCTTGAATAATGTCCAAATTAGACAGAAGGTGCACGTTATTCCACTTAAGGCAGGCCGTGATGAAGATGACGATGACGATGATGGAGATGATGGAGATACCACCCTCCCCCCCTTGCCCCCCTTTCCACTTCCTTTCAAGCACACACGACACTCATCCCAATTTCACTCATTGCTGTGGATGAGCATGGACACAGCCCACACACACACACACTCCCATCCTAATGCTCAAGTATTAGATTTGGTGCTGTTTGTGTGCGTGCAAGCCACTTTTGTGCCAGGGAGTTTGGCAACGAAACGGCGCCTGATAGTGTCCGTGCTTGTCACCATCGCTCACCACCGCCATCTATCTGTCCGAGACACCCCAAACGCGCTCCCCCCCCTCGGGGCACTTCCCTTGGATTTTTATTGCAAATCCATACACACGGGCACACACAAACCTACTTTGTAAATGCACACACATGCAAAGCAGAGATGCACACACACAACACAACAATCACGCAATCTTGGGAATCCATCCGCCCGGCTGGCTCACACCATTTTCATGTTTTGTAGCTTCTGAGCTAACTCGCACTTCGGCCAGGAAGAGGAAGCGTTGATAAGCCGCAGCGGCGGCCTTTATCTGGCAGAGTGCTCATTTCCAGCAGCGGTAGCGCGGCAACCGCGTCCGTCATCATCAGTGTCGCCATTAGCCGGCGTTGGCTGCGACCCGGCATGGGTAGCGCTGACGTAAGTGCGACCCATGACGTACGTCTTTCTGATGCTAAGCGACGCCTCAGACGCAAAGAACAGCGCTATGCTAATGGCAAGAGGGATCGTATCATGTTTTTGTTTGGGACACGAGCGCTGACGTAAGTGCGACCCATGACGTACGTCTTCGTGATGCTAACCGACGCCGCAGACACAAAGAACAGCGCTATGCTAATGGCAAGAGGGATCATGTCATGTTTTTGTTTGGGACACTCACACCATGGTGTACACAACAGACTCACTTTCTCTCACCTACACACACACACGCACGCAAATCAGAATGTCATTAGTGAGGTAGCCATGTCCGACATTTCAGACCTTTTTGGTGTCTCTTGGTGATGTCATCGCTCGCATTATTTGTGAATGTTTGTATTATGGACTTGCACTGCACAAAAGTGACCTGAAATTACAGCCACAATTGTTAAATGTCATCCTCATGTGTGTACCATAGGTGACCCCTCCCCACCATCGCTCCAAGGGCTCCCTCTGCGGCGGAGGCGCCCGGCTGGCCATGCGATGAGCGACAGGCGAAGAGGAGGCCGGAGAGTGGACGAGATCAAATGGAAAGATAAGCCAGGAGGAAAAATGGGGAAGTGGATGGATTGCGGATGGGGGGGGGGGCGCAATGCGGGGGGGGGCTCAGCGAGGGTGGGGGAAGAAGAGTGATGCTGTTGATAGGAAACGGGAGAGGAAGGTGGCGGCCATTTTCTTGCTGCCGCTTTCGGTGGACGTATGTTACCGTGACAACACGGAGACCTCCACAATGAAACGTCGCAGCTGGAGTTTAGCGACTTTGTCATGTTGACGCAAAGAAAGAACCAAAATGGCGGCGATGACAAAACAGCGCCTCCGTTTGTTAGTTGGCTTTTTTCAAAATTGACCACATGCACCACGAAAACGGAAAACACACATACACACACACAAACTCTCGCTCCAACACTGATATCGTTTTCTGATTGTGGCATCACCACTTGGTGAGGGTCCACGTGTGTGAATGTCTATGGCAGCGGAATGGATCGTTGCCTTCCTGCCGGACTGCAAACGAGTCCATCGGAACTTCAGCTTGCGATTTGAATTTGTTCCCCGAGCCCGTTTTCAAGCAACCACCGAGGTCATGTTTGCCCTAGAAAAAACGAACGGAAATGCACAACCGTGCCAAGACTGCTTACGTGGTGGTGTTGACCGGAAGGCCAAAAGGCCTTTCCCGAGCATTTTCCCTGCTTGCAGGTCAAAAAGGTTCCGACACGCAGCATTTCCGGACTCTTCCGCAGCGCCACCTGCCGCCAAGTAAAACGTGGCATTGCAGATCGATGGCAGCTAAAGTCCAAGTCCAGCTAGGATGTCGCCTAATGGACCGAGCCAGATCTAATCACGGCCGACGTTGAAATGTCCTCTCCAGCTTTCTGTGGACCGACAATATTTGGCGCGACATGAAATTCCATCCGCCGGCAGGCCGACCAGCGCCGCGCATGCGCCATCCGATGACTTGCTCAATAATTCACGAGCTTGCTTTGGCCACACGCCGGGCGGCCATGCCAGTTACACCCAACTCACTTTGAATTTGCGAATCGGCAAATAAACGTATCAATGGATGGAAACAACACAGAGGATGGGCAAGGGTACAATTCACCAGTATTTTATTTGATAGTCTACAATCTAAAAGTTATTTTCTAAGCACCCCTATGTATCAGTCAAGGCCTCTTTTAGCCCCCGGCAGAGATAAAAACCTGGAGCCGTCCTGCACGCTGAACCGGTGCAGGTCCAAAGCCTCGGCCGGCGCTGAGAATCGATAAGTGGGTCCGAGACGGAGACCCGCGCGGTGCGGTCCTGCCCTCATTAATGTGCTGAATGTGATTAGCAGCTTATCAGAAGGACGGCAGGAGCCGCCCTCCATATCTCCACAGGCTTCCTGGGATGCCAGCGACAGAGTGGAACAGTAATGGGACGGGGCTGCCGCTTGATGGACAACATAGATACGGATCCGGTTCGTTACATTGAAAGAAAAAACGGAATAGATAAAAATAGACGTCACTATGAAGAAATTTCACTCAAGCAGCACACCTCAACAAAGGCCGATCGCGCATCGCGTCAAATTGTGCACCCTCGTTAACCCGCGAGCAGACGTTCAAGTTTAACGGCAATTTAACGGTGCAACAGTGATCTCGCGTGGACAAAAGGTAGTACTGCATCGGGACTTTGAGGCCTCTGTGACATCAAATGCTCCAATATAGTATAAATGGGCAACTGATGCTTTGAGTCATTGGTAGTCGAATGGTTTGCGAGACTGACTCTGGTTCCAAGTTCCAAGTTCAATACAGGTGAACTGTAGCACACAAGGATAAACACATTTCACTCTACAATGTTTACATCTTGTGTCCAATCAAAACACCGCAACCTAGGACTTTTTCTTGCAAATGAATGCCACTAGACTAAAAAAATAAGACATGTTTTACTGTCATAATAATCGTATCGTCTTATAATTGTTGTTACTAAGCAGGTGTGGAGCGCTTTTACTTCCAAGTGCTCGGACAAGCAAAACAACTGGGGAATAAGATTCTGAACTGACACGGTCACTGATTTGACTTTTCTTTCTGAGAAGGTAAATGATTCCCTTGGTTGTTCCGACTCACTGACTGTACTCTTGATGACATGTCAGCAGCACACTTGGAGAGGGAACAAGCCGTGCGCTTGAAAAATTAAAAAATAATCATAAATCAAGAAAAAAAAGCGTATTTTCTTTCGTTTGAGCAACACGCCCTGCGGTGTCGCCAATTTTCTGGCACCTTTGTTGCCTTTCTGCCCTCAGGAGGGAACTTTGACCTGCCGTCTCGGAACGATCGGGCTCAACATGATGCATGTAAAACGTGAAGGCAAGCGTGGCGAAAGACCTGAAGGAGCCTCACAGCTCCAAAGGGCAGCGAAGTAGGCGTGCACACGTGTGCGCCATCCACAATTTCCCGTGTAAGTGTGACGAATTGCGTGGCGAAAGACCTGAAGGAGCCTCACAGCTCCAAATGGCAGCGAAGTAGGCGTGCACACGTGCGCGCCATCCACAAGTGTGACGAATTGGATCTGGTTTTGGCCGTTTCGTCTTCTCTTTTGCTTTTTAAAGAACCTGTTCCGGGGAGGGTTGACCGTTGATTTAGAGCTATCACGCAGATGATCACTTATTACATTACATCGCATTCATCCTTAAGTGTCATATTTACACGAGAACAGATGATCACTTATTACATTACATCGCATTCATCCGTAAGTGTCGTATTTACTCGAGATGCTTGAAATCATCTGTCATTTCAATCGCATCAACCGTCCCCACGTTTTCATAATGACTTCATCTGATACTTCATTTTCAGTCATTTAGCCGTTTTTCAACCAAGAAATTCGATGTCTTTTCCTTCCTCGAGATGTGTAACTTGTGCAAACATCCCCCCGGGTCATGCCAGGTGCCCACTCGCAGGTAACCGTGAACTTTGGATTTAATTTTGCGTGCGTTCTGTCATGCAAATTAATTTCAGATACACCCCTGTCAGTATTTTTTTTAATGTGATTATGAACAACAAATGACAGATCGGTGTGATTGAAGGCTGTAAGTAGATAAGCCGGCACTTTATATTGCTCATTGACTCTCAATACTTTTGGTGGATTTGTGTTGGCGTCTTTTTTGTCAACTTTATTTTGTCCTGAAGAGCATGGTGATCTGATTTTGTTGTTCTTCAAGTTACGGTCTTCTTAACTTTCGGACGCACGCGCCGTGAAGGAGTTGTTCACGTGAGGTCATTGAACTCAGCGCGAGCTCCGTGACGTAATCAATACGCGGCACACCTGCGTCTCGTTTTGATGACCTCTTGTGACAACTTTCGGTCAATGTTCAGAAATGCTCGTTTCTTTGAAACTGCAGCGAGATTAAGTATTTTAAGCGACCGATTTTCACCACGGTAGCCGGACCGATGTTTTAGACTGACCACGTAAACTGGACGCGACTTTTACGTCTACTAGTGAGAGGAAAATGTAAGTTTGAGAATAATTTCAGTGAATTGCTCGTGTGGAGAGGATGATGATTGATGTGTGTGATGATTCCAGCCAGTTGTGTGTTTATTATACGCTGCTATGTTTTTTTAGGAGGGGTAGGGAAAATTACCTTTTTCCTCGTACTTTCACCTAGTCCGCGAAGACCAAAACAAACCGACGCTCGCATCTGCACGTGATCGTAACACCGAAAACACCGATTTTTTTTCTGTATTTATCAACATGTAATTTGACACTGTTAAGTATCTCCAATCTGCCGAAACGTTGTTGCAGCAACACCATAATGCCTGTAGGGATTATTTCATCATTTTTTTCAGGGTTCCTTGCAAAATATGGAAAACTATATCATTTGATTTAATACATTTCCGTGTTTGGAAAGGTATGCAGAAAAAAAATCATGTATCAGGTTTAGTCCCCCCTCCCCTCTGTCTCTTCACTGTATTTATTCCTTTATCGTCATCCTGAAAAGTAATGAATACTTCTCCCCTGCAGACCGTCGTCCTTCATGTCCCAGGCCAGCCCGCCACCCATTCTTTCTGTTGCGCCCACGCGAGCCCTGATGGACGAGGCCATCAGGGTGCGGGTGGACAATCTGCCTCCCGGAGCTCCGGTGACCCTGCGCTGTCTGCATCACTCGGAAGACAAAGATTACTGGGAGGCATATGGGCACTACATCAGCGATCCCACAGGAGCCGTGTCCGGTAACTAAAACGTCCCGAGAATGCAAACGTCCCGACTGGCAACACCGCAATCAAAACCTGAGCTGCCATTGTCGTTTTTGTTTCTTCCAGTTGCAGACGATGTGAGCGTAGGAGGAACTTACCGTGGAAAAGAAATCATGGGTTTGCTGTGGAGCATGCGGCCTGTACCTGGGAGCCGCACGGGCCTCAGGTACATACAACAACGCCAGTCAACGTCGCCCCTTGACCCCCAAGGACATTGCAACGTTTTCCTCACTTGCTGGCAGGCTGCGGAAGCGTAACGTATGCACCCCCATGCTCTTCACCATCTCCGTGTACGGCGGCCACGTCAGCCACGACTTCAGCAGCCGACGCCCTCTGGCCGAGGAGCTCACCGAGAGGTGGTACATGGCCCCGGGGGTCCGTAGGTTGGAGCTGAAAGACCGAGGCGTACGAGGGACCCTCTTCATCCCGTCAGGTCAGGACAATTTCACATCGAGAGACGCCAAAATGAGACAAGCGCGTCACTGTTGACGGGTAACGGGAAGTCAAGCGTTGTGCCGACTTCAGGTCCGGGACCCTTCCCGGGACTGCTGGACATGTGGGGGGGCGGCGGGGGCCTGCTGGAGTACCGCTCGGCCTTGCTGGCGTCGCACGGTTACGTTTCCTTGGCGCTCGAGTATTTTGCACCCGGCGAGCTGGCGAGCACCGATTTGGAGCTCAAATACTTTGAGGCTAGTGCACGCACACCACGTCGTCCAAATCATTGAAACCACACGCCACACATTTTCTCACATTTTGTACGGCTAAAAAAATGCCTTCGGCCACATCTGCATGTCTTATTTTTAAACGTAACAATATAAGAATCAATGTCAGAAAGATGCTCAGTATGTGACTTTGGACTGTATTTTCTGTCAGGCGGCCTTTGAGCTGATCAAACAGCATCCCGCCGTCGTTGCCGACAAAGTGGGAATTTTTGGCCTTTCCTTGGGCGGCATCGTGGCCATCCACATGACGGCCGAGAGCACCGTTGTCAAGGTAAGCATACGCGTCGCCCAGCGCCAACTTGTAGTTTTTCATCTGTCAACCATTTTCTTGTTGACCGGCGACCACTCCATCATTTGTCTCTCGGAGCCCCGCGATTGGCTGGCCAATCGTCTTGCCCAAAGTCAGCCGGGATAGTCTCCAGCTTGCTCACAACTCAAATGAGGACAAAGAAAATGGATGACGAGAAACACTTTATTCATTCTTATTTTGACTTTTTTTTTTTTTTCGTCCTTCCCAGCCTGCCTGTTGCATTTGCATCAGTGGCAGCCATCTTTACCTACGCAACCAACCCCTGTGGAATATCCATCAGCCGATGTTGGAGTAGGTTGTCTGCTTCGCACGCATTTTCCACTTACACCCATCAAGGTCCGACATTAACAGTGGCCTGACGTGACGTGTCGGGCCACCTGAAGTTAACTGACTGGACCAGTACAAATTTCATATGAAAATACGATGAAATGAACACATTCTTGCTTTTATCACATTAATAGCCAATATTTTGAGGTTTATCGACTTAAATTGATCAACTGTTTTTACCGTCCTCCACTTTTTTTTTTTTTTTTTTTGCCGCGGCAACAGGAGCGGTCGCAAGGTGCACATGGACGAGGAGCAGAATGTGATCTGGCGAGACATCAGCCTGCCCATCTCCAGCGACCTGTCCCGAAAAACGGACGTAAGTTTGCGTCGGAGACGGAACGTCACTCGCCGCTTGTCCAAAGTCGTCGGGTCGGAACGAGCCGCGCCATGAACTCACTTTTTTTGTGGCGGTGTGGTGCTGACCAGGTAAGGAGAATAAACTGTCCTCTCTTGTTGGTCATCGGCCAGGACGACCAGAATCATCCGGCTGCGCAGTATGCCGAGGATGTGAGTGCACACGTGCAGTGCGCGTCATTTTCGTTTTTATTCGTTCTGATGAATTGTGGTTGAAAGATTTGTTTGACTTTTTTTATTTGGCCGTTTACAGTGAATCAATTGTTGATGTAATCTCATCAAATCCGACGCGAATATTGAATAAGTACTCTACAGTACGTACCACCAATTCGAGGGGAAAACAAATGGGCCCCATTTCCACGGCAACCGTCGCGAGCCCGTCGCTCATGTCAACGGCGGGCGGCGTCACTTGCTGTTGTGACTCGCTGTTGGACAGATGGAGCGGATGATGCGTTCGGTGGGCAAGGAGCACCTGCTGACCCGTCTGGAGTACCCCGACGCGGGACACCTGATCGAGCCGCCCTACTCGCCTCACTTCCGAGCCACCAACTTCATGTGGGACTACAAGAAGGCCAAAGGTGGGTAGGGCCAGGCCCGTGTCGGCCATCTTCGCGCCAATTATGGCAAAAAGGAGACGAGACGGGGGCGTTTATGCCTCAAGAGTCGACTGCAACATGCAAACATGACATTTGAAATTCCTCTTCAATCATCATTGGAGCCAGGTCAAAGATTCATTGCAACTTCAAGGTGCACGACAACTCAAGTGTACTTCCAAAATGAAAATCGAAAAAAAAATGACAATTGTCTTGAAATAAATGCTTGGAAACCAAAGTGCAAACGCCGCGTGCTTCCAAGTCAAATCCTGCGGAAAGTTTTCCAGAGGAAAAAGTGCCACTTGACATGAGGTGATTTCATGTCTTCGTTGCCTCACGGCGCACAAGGTTGGGGGGGGGGGGGGGGGGGGGGGGGGGCACGCTTTGAGAGCGACTTTTGTGGTTTGTGCCCAGTCACCATGCTGTGGGGAGGTCAGACCAAATGCCACTCGGACGCCCAGGAGGACTCGTGGAAGAAGATGTTGGCCTTTCTGCGCCAGCATCTCTACTCGCCGCACCTTCCAAAAGCCAGGATGTGAACTCCCGAGTGGCGCCGTTTCCTCTCCCGTATGGACACGCGCTTGTCGTGCTTGAACACCCCGCTGCCCCGACGAGGTACGCCTTAACGCAACTCATGGAAGCATTAGCGCCATGCGCTATTTTTGCCGCAAACTTGACAATAACATTGCAGCCGTCGCAGTTTTCAGCAGTAACATTGTTCTCGATTGAGGCTCGCTTCTTGAGACCAAAATGCCGTAGGGGAGAACCTTACCAAAGCAAAACGTTTGATCAGTTTCCCCAAAAAATAAATGTCCTCGTAAATGCCGCATATTTGTGGTGTCACTGGACGTCATTGATCCCGATAATGCATTTGATTGATTATATTTGAAGTGCTCTATTTGGATATTTGATCACATGAACACTTAAGTCTTGAGTCCTCAATGGAGTTCGCGCCTTGACAAGAAGTTTTTAAGATGCTGTCATTCAAACACTGAGAATGTACACCAAAGAGACTTTGCGGTTGTTCGAGTCCTAATGTCGGTGTTGTGGTCAGAATTCACTGTCGCAAAAATAAAGCAACTTCCAGTTCACTTTTTTTTTTTTTGGCGCCGTTTCCTCTCCCGTATGGACACGCGCTTGTCGTGCTTGAACACCCCGCTGCCCCGACGAGGTACGCCTTAACGCAACTCATGGAAGCATTAGCGCCATGCGCTATTTTCGCCGCAAACTTGACAATGACATTGCAGCCGTCGTAGTTTTCAGCAGTAACATTGTTCTCAATTGAGGCTCGCTTCTTCAGAACAAAATGCCGTGGGGGGGAGGAACCTTACCAAAGCACAAGGTTTGATAAGTTTCCCCAAAAAATAAATGTCCTCCTGAATGCCGCATATTTGTGGTGTCACTGGACGTCATTGATCCCGATAATGCATTTGATTGATTATATTTGAAGTACTCTATTTGGATATTTGATCACATGAACACTTAAGTCTTGAGTCCTCAATGGAGTTCGCGCCTTGACAAGAAGTTTTTAAGATGCTGTCATTCAAACACTGAGAATGTACACCAAAGAGACTTTGCGGTTGTTCGAGTCCTAATGTCGGTGTTGTGGTCAGAATTCACTGTCGCAAAAATAAAGCAACTTCCAGTTCACTTTTTTTTTTTTTTTTTTTGAGTGCCTGCAACCTGTCTGGCTGAATGCTGGTAAGGAAGAAAGATGAAGAGCTTCACCTTTTGCTGTCTTATACTTGTCCGTTTGTCCCCAGGGGCATTTGCGCTGCCTGCGGCGTTGCGAGATGAAAGAAATGCGTGAAGCGTTGATGTCAATGGATGCGGTTCGATGAGTCGCCGCCAGAGGGAGACATGGCGCCATTAGCTCGAGCATTGAAGTCCCGTTGGTGCTTGACTTTCCAGTTGGAATGCGTCAGTGGAGCAACACCACGGGAACATTGTTGTGTTGCGGTTGCACATCTTCAACGCGGCAACATGCAAAAAATGTCCTCTCGTCCGACCGCCCTCCCCCGCGCGCGCGCGCACATACACGACGAGCACGCACGCGGAGACTGAGAGGAACTGTGAAGGGGAGCTTTGTGAGGCCATGAAAGCTGACTTGTTCTGGGCAGTGGGGGAAAAAGGAAACGCGCGCGCGCAGCATGAAGGTTGTTTGTCAAAGGGGACACTCGGCTCTTTTGTGCAACCACACACGCACACACTTACACACTCCCACCAAATGTTTCAGGTGTGACAAGAAATCTGCTTTTGAATCAAAGTACAATGCCGATGATTTGTGTGAGCATGCGTTTCATCTAGATGACCAAATTCATCATCATGACTTCTCTCTCAAAATGTCACAACAACACTACCTCCGACAAAGACCCCACAAATATTGACTCACAATTCTGTCATGAACATTTGGACGCACATGTTGTCATAATTCGTCATAGGTGCTATTCTGACAATCAAATTTCAGGAACTGCGACTTCTTCCAGAATTGCACCGCTGTGTTTCCATGTGGGATGATACCATGACATGTTTTTTGTTTGTTTCTTGTCCTGCATGTCTGACACTAATATTCAATCATGTCAGTTAAGTTTCTTCCTGTTTCTAGACAAAGGGCAGAACATCACCCTTTGGGCTTTTTTTTTTTTTTTTATCCTTTCAGCTTGTTTTGGGCTATGTGCAAACAGCCTGTATTCTTGTTTTTTTTTGGGCTCTTTTGTAACCTTTTTACTGCGTAATGTTTTTTTTTTTTACAATAACATTGGTACATCGCCTCTGATTTTAAATATGACTTGCACATGAAATTGCTTCCTTGTCCAAAATTACTAAAGAACGTCATTTGGTAGAAAACCTAAACAACAACGCTGTTCAAGTGTCACTTTAGAATGAAACCAAGACATTTCAAAATACGCCGACACCTCTCAGGATTTCAATTGGTCAAAAGTGATACAAGTTGACATCTCCAAAATATTATTTTGAAGAGTCTCAGTACTTTTGCGAGGTTTAAAAAAAAGCGAGCTGTCCTCAAATGGCCAGCGGAGAGCCCCTGCGGTGAGACAAGCATGCGCGCGCGCGTGTGTATGTGTGTGCGTGTGTTTTACAAGCTGCAGCAAACCAGCTGCGGTTGAGCGCTTCCGAAGAGAGTCGAAGAAAGCCGAGCGTCTCCGAGCCCGCGGCACGCCCTCAAACGGCGGCAAGATGCTCTCCGCGCCCGTCCGCCCGCTCGTCACTTTGTCACTCGGTCAGTTTGTCAGCTGAGGAAGAACAACAACAACAACAACAACGAGATGACGGCTCTGAGCAGCTGGGAGCTTTGCGTCAAGTACGCCCTCTTCGTCTTCAACTTTATCTTCTGGGTGAGTGAAAATATTCAATTGGGCTGGCTTCTCATCATTCAGCGCAAAAATCACTATTGGCAATTGTCATTCGCACTCGGATGACGCAGATATGTTTGCATCCAATACTCCTTTATTCGCCGTTAATGTGATTTGTATGTGTAACCTGGTAGGAAGTTTGCGCTGTTCCAGCAATTCCATGATTCATACTTTTTTCTTTAAAAAGCACTTGAAATTGAAATGCTAGTATGATTTTGTACATGACTCGTGCTGTCAGTGCGCGTTTTTCAGCACTTACGAGTAATTCAGAAAAGTCTAGTTCCAATATAACGACGTACATGCAAAAAGTCAAGACGCGATTTGAAGGGTGTAATTGCTATAGATGTACACTGGGTGGTGCCAATTCTCTTGAAATGTCATCCACTTGTATTGATTAAGTGGGCGTTGCCGTGTTGTTATTGCAATTGGAAATGGCCTTCCGTATATTTGTCTCAAATTAGATTAACTACAGAATGATCCGATGTATTATGTTCACATTTTCGGACGACGTTTTGTTCAACTTCAACAAGAATGCTTTGAATGGAAACTCAACAATGGCCAATGCACATTTGAAACCTTTTTATCAGCGTACGTCATCTGGCTCGTTCTCACATGTTGTTTTGCAATTGAATTTCAAGAAAGCGTGATAGTTTACCTTCGTGTCAGTTTTTGCCGAAGCGAAGGCTTGAGCTGATTGGTGACATTTGGCCCCCCATCCCCCACAGAAAAACCCGCCCTCTGCCTTTGCAGGTGAGCTAGTGCAGGGTGTGGCCCTCATTTTCGCTCCTCTTCCGCTTCTTGACTTTCTCTCGTTCAGTCGGAAGCCGCGTGCGTGTTCAGGTGTTTCCACCTTTTTGGATTGTTTGTTTTAAAAAAAACTCTTTTGTTTGCCGACACGAGCGCCACTTTTGCGTCACCATGGGGGCCCTGCAGTGCATCAAGTACCTGCTCTTTTTCTTCAACTTCCTCTTTTGGGTACGTCACTTTTACAAGTCCACAAAAAAACGGCAGTGATTTTTGTCTTGTGGCCTTTAAAGCCACCTCGTGGAGATGTGTTCGTCGACGTGTCCTTGTGCAAGATTTGAACCCTCATCAGAAGGGTTAATGGGGTAAACGGCGTAAAGCGCTTTGCTTTGAGTACCCGAGGTAGAAAAGCGCTTCATAAGTGATAGCTCGTTGAACTGTATGTGTTGGTGTGTGAGTGGGATCGGTTTGGGTGTGTGTTTTGTGCTTTTTGTTGGTAGTGTGTCCATGTCGTGTCCATGAGGCACTGGCAAATGTCCCTCAGACAAATGAAGGAAGTTGCTGCTGTTTTCTTGCATTTGTTTGCCGCACTCCTCGTTATTGTTTTTATTGTGAATCGGCGTTTTTGTTTTGTCAAAAAAAGGATTCAAACTCCCTCAGCATGATATCCTGATTGCCTTGGCTACTTTGTAGCACCCGTCCTTCCTTGGAATAACGTCTCCTTTAGTTCATCGAGCTAGGCTAATGACGTATGGTGGCAGGTGACGTAGTTACGTGGTTTTCCGCTAGATGGCAGAAAGTAGCTAACTAACTTCAATTTGTAGTAAAATGAGACATGATATCGGGACACGGTACACCTTGACCATTGAAATGAATAGAAACGCCAATTATCAGTCCCAGCAACCCCCCAAAAAGCCGATTCAAGCCAGCATTGTGTCAACGAATGTTTCCGTTTGTCTCTCATCGAAGATGCGTCCCGAGTCTGAAAGGTTGCGCAATTCTTCCGTTCGACATTTTGACGTGCGTCAAGTGCAAGAAAATGGTGTCGAGCAACGGGAAGGGAGGATCCAAGTAGCAATTAGTGGCCAGGAGGGTGTCGACCTCATGTCTCGTCATATCCCACGAGGCTCGCCATCATCATCATCGTCGTGGGAGTTGTTGAGGAGACGTCAACAATGTTTGCTGGTTTCCGAGGAGACGTTGACTCATTGTGGTGAGAAACTGCAGAAGAATCCTCCCACGACAACATTCGAGAAAAGAATACCAAGCTAGCCTGAGGGCTGTCTGTAAACAAGCAGACGTTCGCCACAGATGCTGTGTCGCGAAAGTGACTCATTTCTTGTCACGTTATCAGTTTGGAGTTCAAGATTGTTGCTTTTTGTTGGTGGTGGTGTGTTTTGTTGTTGTTTCCAAGATTGTCTTCTGTGACAACATAAGCATTGGTCCTACTAAATGAGCAGTCGATGGTCCTCTCTCAGCCAAAACTTGGTTGCTCGCTTTTTTTCTGTGCAACACGTGAAGATGGGTTGGTTTCACCAAAAAGACTGGTGTCTGACCCAAATTTGGAGAAGAACGGTGACTTAGGCGCTGATGTCTTGTTTTGTGGCTCTTGAAAGCAAGATTGAAGGTAAAACTGGAATTTCCAGATGGAGGTTTGAGCTTTCCAACTCAGCATTGTTTTCGTGTTAGCAGCTTTTTTTGTTTAAGTGCTCTAAAAATAAAGCTGAGTTGAGTTCATTTTTACGTATGATGTGATTCGGTTCGTCTGCAAAATGGTGCAGGAAAAGCACATTTGCCTTCTTTCCTCAGTCACTGGAGGCATCTCTCGAATGTCGGCGCCACCCGCAGGTCCTTCAGTCACTCAGTCGACCCGAGCTAATTCTTGAATTTCCTTCTCGGTCCCTAGTTGGCCGGCACGGGCGTGTTGGCGGTGGGACTCTGGCTGCGCTTTGACAGCAGGACGGCAGGACTGTTTGAGGGCGAGGACTCGCCCTCCGTCTTCTTCACCGGTAAGAACAAAATGTCAGCTGCGCGCGGTAATCATTTTTGTTGTCAAATAACCTGCCAAATGATGTTCAGCATTCATGCATTGTTGCTTACTTGATGCTGGCGCACAACAAAAAACGGGTTGTGGTGTGAGGTGAGCGCGGGCACGCCAGGACGAGATGAGGCGGCCGGCGCTGACAAGCGAGGAGTTGTGTCCCCGTGAGGCGACGGGCTCGCTCCGCCCGTCCGCTGCCCACGCCTGGCGGCCGAACAGCGGGCTCTTTGTTCCTCGCCAGGAATGCGTCTTTTGTGGAGGCTCCTCCACAGCTTTGTGACCTCCCCGTCGAGGTCGCCGTGGCCCGTCGGCGCTCATCAACATGTCACACCAAATTCACCCGTAGGCCTGCCCTTGACCTTTTTATTGCCGTTTTATCCACGGCTCCACTCATGTCAACGCGGCTCACGACCCCGAGCAATTGCAACAAATCAAGTCGGATGAATGAGCGCTGTTTGTGCCGTTAGGCGTGTACATCCTGATCGCGGCTGGAGCCCTGATGATGGTGGTCGGCTTCCTGGGATGCTGCGGCGCCATCAAGGAGTCGCCGTGCATGCTGGGATTGGTCAGTTTTGTCTTTTGTTTTTCTCCCCGCTCCCTTAAAATTGGCTAGTTAAATTGCATTTTTGAAAATATAAAATATTTCATAAAGTCGTTTGTCATAAATGATAAATTGTGCGTGTTAGTTGAGCTCCTTGTCGACAAGTCCACTCGTTGATCACACGATGACTAATACGCTTAAATTTGAATAGTATCAAAAAGAACAAATTATTGATTGTTGGTGAATTGATATGATCCTATTTATGCCTTTGTGTTCATGCATTCATTGAGCTTCACTGATTGATTAACCCTCTCATTTGATGAAAGAATTGGTTGAAAATAGATCGTCAATTCTCCGAACGACGGCCCATCTGTCAGTTCAAAAGGGGGAAGCACCCAGGTTTGCCGGCGCTAATGTGCGGAGCTTCCTTTTTCTTTTGTTTTGGGGGCGCGCAGTTCTTCCTGTTCCTGCTGCTGATCTTCGCGGTGGAGGTGGCGGCGGGCATCTGGGGACTGTCCAACAAGGAAGTTGTGGTGACGGAGGTGACCGAGTTCTACAAGCAGACCTACAACAACTACAAGGACACCCGGCAGGAGGCGCTCAAGGAGACCCTGCGCCTCATCCACTTCGGCGTAAGAAGCGCAAACCCTTTGGTCTTCCCACCGTTGGCCTCGTGACTCTTTTTTTCGTTTCCTGTCCGCAGCTCAACTGCTGCGGGCCCACGGGCACGGTGATCGACGCCGCCAGGGACATCTGCCCCAAGAAGGAGGGACTGGAAGCGCTCATTACCACGGTAACCGCAAGCCGCCGGCCGCAACGGCGCCTGCGCTTGACGCACTGACTGACCTTTTGTTTTGCGGGCGTCAGAGCTGCCCGGCCGCCATCGACGAGGTGTTCAACAACAAGCTGCACATCATCGGAGGCGTGGGCATCGGCATCGGCATCATCATGGTGAGTGGGAGGACCGTGGCCGGCGTCGCGCAGAGACTGAATCGATGCACGCTTAGCGAGCTGCTAGAAACACACACTTGTACACTTATTCGTAAACACTCGGCTAACTGCACTTGCGCAAACTTCAAGCTGCTCACACACCCCGATGAAGTTCTACGCAGAGCTCGAGGCGCACGTGTGTCCCACCCATCCGCGCACGCGCTCGCTTACTTAGAGACTGAATCGATGCACGCTTAGCGAGCTGCTACAAACACACACTTATACACTTATTCGTAAACAATCGGCTAACTGCACTTAGTCTTGCGCAAACTTCAAGCTGCTCACACATCCCGATGAAGTTCTACGCAGAGCTCGAGGCGCACGTGTCTCCCATCCATCCGCGCACGCGCTCGCTTACTTGGGACTTGTTTGTTTTCAGATCTTCGGCATGATCTTCAGCATGATGCTCTGCTGCGCCATCAAGAGATCCAGAGACTTTGTTTAACGCCGCCCCTTTGCGCCTCCTCCCGCCTCTAGTTCAGTAACCGACGCTTCTTTTAACCCGCCGCTCAGGGGTGCACGCGGGACGGCCATCTTGGACGCGTGAGCGCGTGGCGGCCGGAGTCGGCGACCCTTCGAGTCACACTTTTCACTTTCGGCGTTGCGCTCGGCACACCCAAAAAAAAAAAAAACATTTTCAGTTTGCACGTCTTCCCGACGGGTGTTGACGGATGAAAACACGCTAACATTTAGCCTGTTTTAATTTCATTGTGACTAACTTTTTTTATGTTGACTTTTTGTGTTGAACTTTTTATGCCAAATAAAAGCCAAATAAATTAACGATAAAAAAGTCATTCAATTGTGCAGGCGTTCAGTAGGTTGTTGGTCCTTTTATTTTTATTCCCACCCCTGTCTGGCAACCAGAGTCAGTGAAACACAGTTGAAGCGGCGTGAAAACTGGAATTTATTTACACATTTTGGAATCCAAAAGGAAATTTGAGTTAGTCGTCCCAGGCGAAGTCGTACGGCTGAAAGGCGTCCCTGAGCTGCGCGCACGCCGCCTCCTCCTCCGCTCGGCTTTGTTTGCACTCCTTCCAGTCGGCTCGCGTCGGAATGTTGAGCAGCGGCTCGCTGGCCAGAACCTCCCTGCCAAACAAACATTGTCAAGTGGACGCCGCGCAGACAATGGCCACAAGGCGGCGCCCCTCACCTCCCGAACTGTAGCGGGAAATTCCTCTGGATGCGGTGGAAGAGCTTCTCCCCAGAGTCGAGCTCCACGTAGAAGTACGGCGTGCCCGGCGGAGCAATCTGTGCGCACGGACGGCCGCGGCTGTGAGCGAGCCGGCGGCGGGAGCGGCGCGATGCGGGTTACCTGCTTGAGATCGCTGTGTTGCGGAATCTCCATCAGCTCCATTTGCTGATCCTGAGCCTGCACCACAAAAGCCTCCTTGATGTCGTCGGTGGCGCAGCGGTCCAGCGGCAGCGGCACTACCTGGCCACGAAAAACAAGGACAACTGACACCCCTAAAGATGCGAAGGCGCGCCTGAAATGTGGAGGTGAAGATGGCTCAATGTGTTTGTACCTGAAGCTGCAGATGTTGGCTCCTGTAGTTCCTCTCAAAGAGCACGCAGCGCTCACCGCGGCTCTTGTAGAAGCTCCTGAGCGCCACCTTGTACTTGTCCATCTCCTGCAGAACCTCGGAGGCCAGCTCCACCGTGGACTGGTAGTGTCCGATGGGCAGGATGAGCACGTGTCCTGCGTTCAGTCCGCCTTTGGCTAGCGCCAGGTAGCACTGCGGTCACCACAGATCAAGACTCCGGACGGCTGCAAGGTCCCCCCCCCCGCCCCCGGCCAACGCGCGGACGTTGTACTCACGTGAGTCCCGATGCTGACCACCAGATGTTTCTCCACCTGCGGACTCGCCAGGCAAAACCAGCACTCGCCGGGGGGGAGAGCTGCACAAGAACATTTGGACCATTTAGCGCCTGCATGCTCCCACTTTTGGGAGGAGGGGGGGGGGGGAATCATTTATCTGTGAATTACGGTGCTTGCGAGGTTGCTTGTGTCCCGACCAGTTGCCCTCCAGCGGCCTCTTCCGGCCGCGCCCACGAGCGATGCCCCCGCGATCCCGACTGAGGTCAAAGAAGAACTGAGTCCTCTGCTCCTGGATGGAAGAGAAGCGAAGAAGTTACGTTTCGGGGGGGCCTGTTGCCAGCGTGACGTCACGGTATTCGTACCTCCTCCTCCGCGGTGGCACCCGAGCCGGTTTTCGGCGTCTCTCGCTTGTCTTTAGCGACCCGCCTGTACGGGTTTTCCGTCACGTCCTGCGGCTGTTTGACCAGCTCCGACGGATCCATCGCCTTCATGGGGATGATGTTGAAGGCGTACAAGTACTGCAGAGACACTTTTTTTTTTTAATCATGGTTCAATTTGAATCAAATAATTGCAAAGAATTCTGTTAGACATAAGGCCAAAAAAAATGAGAATTAAGTACCGGTATTTATTTTAAGAAATTAAACGACCAAATTAACCATATAAATATCAGTTGAATAAAATTGCATGTAAAGTACAAAAACTTGCATGCAAAAATATTTTCTCTTCCTAAATTATTAAAATTATATGAATTAGGTTAATTCAAGTTTTTATCTATCAGTTTGGTACATTGACTTTTTCAGATGTAAATGTTCTTCATAGATAAGAATATTAAGGCAAAATTATTTTGGTTAAAATGTAATCTACATATTTTTTTAAACCTCATGAGCTGTCTCGTTTGTTTAGGAAATCCAAGTCAGTGTGAGCTCAATTAGGCAACAAGAGCATCCTCACACCTTCTTCTTGGCGGGGTTGTTGACAGTTGCCAAGGCGATGAAGCGAGTGACATGCTGAGCGTTTTCCTGTAGAACCACGTGATTCCTAAAGAGGGGGACAAAATCTCGAACGTCAACATGTTTCCCCTTTTTATTTTTTCTTCAGCTCACCTGTATGGTAACCTTTCATAGTGAGCGCCTTCTAATGCAGCAAAGTGGTATCTGGGCTTCAGTTTGTCGGCCAGGTTGGCCAAGGCGCTGCTTCCGCAGGACTTTGTGTTGACTTCCTGTGACAAGTGTTTCATCAGGAAACTTAAGCCGACTGAGATTTGGGTTGTTTTTTGTTTTCTGCTAGGTGACTCTGAAGAGTTCACTCGATATACAAAATGGGTGTGCTTTTGAATGGTTACCGGGTTGTTAGCGTAGTGCCACACCCCCCTGGGCCACTGCGAGGTCAGAAGGATGTCGATGCCTCGGAACTTACTGCTGGCAGTCAGCGGGGCCAGCACGGCCGCCAGATCTTTGGGAGTGAAGCAGTGAGGTGGCGCCGGCTCCTGCGGGGCCTCGCACCCGCTGACGTAGGCGATCTGCAAGCCCGACGCCCCCGTGAACACGCCACGGCGACCTGGAGCACAGAGACACATTTGCGGGATCCCAGAACTAAACCTCAAGCTGGACGGGAGAGCGTTTCTTACCCAAGTATGTGATGTTGTCCGCCAGTTCGCAACCATCTGCACTGGGGAAATTCTTGGCTGTTGCCTCACTTCCTGCGCCCAGGATGTACGTCTGGATGGGAGCTGAGGAAGCACGACGGTTGAGTTAAATACATTCATGACTTCTCAAAGTGCAGATGCGCGAGTTGTACCTTTCTTTGCTCCACTTTTGTACCGCTGCCACTCTTCCTCGGCTTCCGGTGTCGATGAAAAGAATTCCCCAACGCACAGAAGAAGCTGCGGCAAATCAAGAGCAAGCTGAACGTATTGCACGCAAGTACTGTACAGCTATGCAATGCTGCGTTGACATCTGGTGCGTTCCCAGCTCACGTCAAACTGTCCAGTCTTCTTCTGGATGCTTAGCACTCTGCTGTAGAGAGCTCCGAGCTTGCCTTCGACGTCCCCACACACCAAGCTGCAAAACAACAAATTCTCTGAACCTAAAGCGCACCGATGACCGATCGTTCAAACTTGAGGTAAATGACAGCACAAGTTCAGTGCACGCTCACTGTAAAATCGCGTGCAATATTTGGTCGGGTGACTCACACTCTCACGGGTTTTTCTTCCATTTCTTGGTCAGTTGGAAGATAAGTACAGTATCACCATTAGATTTCTGCAACTTGAACGTTCCGGACGTCTTTCGATTCCGCTGCAAACAACGACGGAACCATCGATCACACAAAAAGAAAATACACAACAAAAGTATTACTAAATAATCTACTTTGAAAAAGGACATATGTTTGACAAATTTAAAACAGATAATATTTACTTTTCTTTGTTTTACTTCGTATTAATTTGTGAGGAAACGCTTGTTTGCATGGGAACATATTTTACAAGGACCAAGTGGTTGCCATGATTAAGTATTACGCAAATTTGGGGGAAAGAAAATCTAATCGTATTTCGTCAAGGCATCATCATTTTTAAAAAAATGTATTTATTAATATCTTGTAATGATGATGTGATGAATTTAATCGCAATCATAGTGAGTTATGATCGATGATATGTTGAGACTATTGGACTTTTTTTTTAGCTATATGGCAACCCCTTGGCCCACATCGAGACGTCGTGCATCCTGGCACTTGCCTCCATCCTGGTAACTAGCAAGTTCCCGGACCAAAAACAGGAAGTAAGTAACTCATTCAAAACCGAAAATGACTTCCTCTTGCCTATTCAAAAGTTTGCGGAGTCTCGGAGGGGTCCCAAACCACAAGAAATGCTCACAAACTGCTCGGTTCACTCGAGACGCCACGAGCTGCTCCTTGTTCACTAAAATGGCGTCGGAGCGTTTTCGTCTTTTCGTGGACGGGGCTAGATCGCTGGATGCTTACGGTTCGCATCAAATATGTTTGTTTCGTGTTTGAGTTCCTGAAATGAAAAACAAAAGCTCCCAAACTATTGCAGTGTTTGCAAGTTCGCTGAAGTGTGTGTGTGTGTGTGTGTGTGTGTGTGTATGTGTGTTTTACAAGCTGTCTGTCTCATGCTAAGCACCAAAGACAACATCATGTCAAATGTATGCAAGTATGCACTTCATAAAGTGATCAATGAAAACCACTGTCCGCATTGTGTCGTGTACTGTTGTAAAAAGCAATCAATTTCAATTTATTTGATGCCGTTGTCCTCTGAGTCGTTTTCAGATGTAACCAGCAGGGGGCGCCATCGCAGTTTATTTGAACGTAAACTCAGCATAAACCAAAAGAAAGAAATGAACCCCTCTCACCCGCTTTTAACACATTTCAACTCATTAAAACACACTTCAACCTACTCAAAGACACTTTAGAGTTTGATTTCTTTCACTGTCACGAAATTAATCTAAACAGTACAATACAATACAGTATATCTTTATCTGTCAAGAATAGCTGGTGATGAATGAAATGTTTGTGTCATTGAATACTCATCATATTTCACTCTTATTTCACTTACACGTGTTGATGTCATGTAACTGTTTTTTTTTTTTTTGGTTTTTTTTTTGCCGGCGGGCGGCACAGGCGTGCGATGAGCGTGGAGGTAGAGGAGCAGGATGGCAGCGCGCCGATGGAGACGGTCCAGTCGCTGACGCTGACCCAGGACAGCGATGGCAGCATCATACTGCGCTGCGCCGCCAGCGGTACATCACCGTCCTCATCCTCAGCTTCATCTTCGGCTTCACACATCGGTTGTTTGTGTGTGTCTGTGTGTGCACGCAGTTGGCGAGAGTGAACCTCATGCGAAGAAAGCACGGGAATCAGCGGACTCAGATGCGTCCTTTTCTCTCGTCAACATGCCCGGTGAGTGAGGCCTCACATGAGGTCACATGACAGCCAAGTTGACATCAGCACGTACAGTGGAGGGCTCCAACCAACGATTATTTTAATAATCGCTTCATCTGCCGATTAACCGATGAATCGGATCAAAAGTGTTTTTCACCTTCCATCCCTTTACTCAAAAGTGGGCATTGTTTCAAATTGAAAATGTGAAATTACCAATTGATTGCGATTGCAAATTGCTTACGTTTCATCGTGACGCGACGCCTTTGTCTCTCTTCAGCGGCCGACAGCCGCAAGAGCTTTGAGGCTACCGTGACGACGATGGCGACAGCGGCGGACGACACTGTCGCTCAGGATGGCGTGGCTCACATTCAGGTGGGCCAAACCTCGTGCGACTCACAGACCCGAGCCCACAGCGGCCTCACAGTGATGACTCGTGCGTGCGTGAAGGTCCTGTGCGGCGACGACGGCGATGACAGCGGCAGCGCTGCCGCTGCGTCTCCCGCCGAGAAGGCCGATGTGTCGGCCGTCAGTCAGGCCTGGTTCACCACCAAAGAAGACAAAGACACGCTTGCCAACAAAGGTACGGATGTCCATTTGAAGTCAGGGCTACTCAAGCATTCTGGGATCCCTGGCTTGATGAAAACACACATTACAACCGCATTGTCAACATCTTTGAACACACACACACACAGCCACAAAAACAAAACCAAAAAACAACGCTGGTTGAAAATGCTGTACAGTATTTGCAACTCACCTTGAAACTAGCTTGCGCTCACTTACTTGCTGTTTTTGGGCGCCATCTTGCCTTCTGTCAGGTCACAAGTGGAAACAAGGGATGTGGTCCAAAGAGGAAATCGACATTCTCATGAGCAACATCGAACTATACGTCAAGGTGGCTTTCCTTCCGTGGTTTCAGCGTTTCCTCCGCCTCGACCGGAGAGACCAAACGTAGTTGACTTTTGCATGTGCGCCCACCAGGGTCGGGGCATCGAGGATCCGGCCGAGGTCATCTTTGAGATGTCCAAGGAGGAGCGCAAAGATTTTTACCGCTCGGTGGCGCTGGGCCTCAACAGGCCGCTCTTCGCCGTCTACAGACGAGTCCTGCGCATGTACGACAACCGCAATCACGTCGGCAAGTGAGTGACCGAGACGAGTGCGGCCGTGATGATGGCGGCGCGCACCGATGTGACGTCTGTGTGTGTTTGTGTGTGGTCAGGTACACGCCGGGAGAGATTGAGAAGTTAAAAGGGTGAGTCGTTCAGTCATCGCTTCACTCCGTGAAAGGTCGGCAAGCATTTTTGGTCATCTGACGTAAAGCCGCGCTGAGCCGCAAAATAATCGGCATCAATTTCTCGCCAATCTACGCTTGGCATGTTTGGAAGAAAAAAAACAAAAAATGACTCCCCCGATGGTCTGACCTCCATGTTCAGGCTGAGGCATCGCCACGGCAACGACTGGGCCACCATCGGCGCGGCGCTGGGCCGCAGCGCCTCATCCGTCAAGGACCGCTGTCGGCTGATGAAGGACACGTGCAACACGGGTACGACCGCTCTGACTTGGTGAACGTTTTGCGGATTTAAAGGTGAGGGGGGGGCGTACTCGCATGCAGGCAAGTGGAGCGAGGAGGAGGAGCGTCGCCTGGCCGAGGTGGTGTACGAGATGGCGGCCAGCGCTCCGGGCTCAGTGGTGACGGGCGGCGTGTCCTGGGCCTCGGTGGCCAGCCGGGTGGGCACGCGCTCGGAGAAGCAGTGTCGCTCCAAGTGGCTCAACTACCTCAACTGGAAGCACAGCGGCGGCACCGAGTGGACCAAAGATGACGACCTCGGCCTCACGCGCAGGTGCGCCGCAAACACTCAAATCCAATCTCAGCCGGGTTCAATCGATTCGGACCAAATCCGTGGCGCAATATTTTGTCTGCCGATGCTTCAAGCATTTTTTTCAATAAAAGCCCCCAAAAAATGAGTAGAACAATTTCGCGCAACATTTTTGATGTATTTATTGAGATTTTGGCGTAGCACTGCGTCATCGTGTCTTTTACAAAAACATACGGCAATGAGAGAATGAAATAGTGTCAAAAAAATACGCTCTCGGATTGATGCGTTACCTGTCGACATGTGTTATTTCACCGTTTGTCAATGACATTTTATATTGGTTCGCATTGAGCTAAGGAGACATTTCCAAGGGCGAGCTAGGTGGGTGGTTGAAGGACTTGTCGTCGCAGGATTTTGGAGCTGGAGGTGGCAGATGAGAACGAAATCAAATGGGAGGAGCTGGCGGGCGGCTGGAGCAGCGTGCGCTCGCCTCAGTGGCTGCGCTCCAAGTGGTGGAGCATCAAGAGGCAAGTGGCCAATCACAAGGAGATCCCCTTCCCCGGTGCGTAACAACACGATGCGCTCGTTCATCTGCCCGTCACATTTCGCAAATCTTTCCCAATAATTTTGGTGAGCTCCATCAAATGAAATTGGCCAAGGTACCGCGGGGCTTGCTCGCTGACGTGACTGTTGCGTCGGCAGTCTTGCTGAAGGCCCTCCACGAGGTGATGTCATCCTCGCCGTCGGCGGGCGCGCCGTGCGGCCCCTCCTGCGCCCCCTCGCTCCAGATCCGGCTGGGCCGTTTGGAGGAAAGCGGCGCCGTCTCAGCGGCGCCGGCGCTACAGATTCCCGTGCAGATCCCGCTGCAGATCGCGCACCTGGGTGAGACTCGCCGCCGGGTTAGCGGCCCGCCGTCGGAGCTCCGACCGTTGAATGGCTTGCCCTCTGCGCCTCAGACTCGTCCGTGGCCGGCGGCGAGGGGGAGACCATCGCGCTGAACGGCGGGACCCTGCAGGCCTTTGAGATTCTTCCGGTGAGCGAAGATGGCACGCACTGTAGACAACCCCAAAACATTTTTGGGGGGACACGCAAAGCAAAACAGCAAAAAGTTGGGCCGACCCGTACGGCGCATCGCTCGCCGCCGTCCGCTCTCTCTCCTCTGACGATCCCGCTTCTGTTTCCCTCCCATCACCCCGCATTTTTTTCCCTCCCATGACGATGGCATTGTGCCGCCAGTCGTTTCAGCTGCAGCCCACCAGCACGCCGGGCACGTACTTCCTGCAGACCACGTCCGGTCAGGGGCTGCCCCTCGGCCTGGCCAATAACAGCACGGTTACCTTGACGACAAGCTCGCCCCCCGCATCCCACGAGCACATCATCCTGCACGGCCTGGCGGTGCGTCCCAACCGCCGCTTTCGACTTGAGATGCCGATTGAGAAATGTCGGTGACCGCTGGGACGCCGTTCGGTAGACGGACGGCCTGTGCGCCGGCGACGGCGTCATCATCCAGACGGTGGCGGCGGACGCGGAGACGGAGGGACGGCGGCAGGACGAGCATCTCAATCCGTCAACGGCGACAAAGAGGAAGGAGCCGATGGCCGACAGCTTTACTGACAAGGTGCCCGCAAATGTTGTCAATGTATTTCCGGTCATCTCCGCAACATATACAGGCCGGACAATTAAATGTTCTGCCTCTGGATGACAGAAGAGCCACGGAATCATGGATCCGCAAGTTGCCATTCATACGCGATCAGATGACGAATTTATTGATTCAGTCCATGTGAAATGATGAACCAGGAAAGCCTCATTGAGATTAAAAAATCTCCTTGTCGAGAGTGCGCCGGCCAAGACGTCAACTCGCCAGCCCGCTTGGTTCAAAGCGGCTCAAGCGTCGCGCCGAGGTCAGTTTGGGATTCATCACCTCACATTTTGTCCATTCGCAGCTGACTCCGCCCCCAGCCGACGGGGGCCATCCTGGGATGGCCGCTGGCGGCGCCGTCCTGATCGTGTCGCCGTCCAACATCGGCAGCGCGCTGACAGGTGAGGCCCGCCATCCATCCAATCGCCCGTCGCGACTCCACGCCCTCTTTTCTCCTCAGATCCCATCTTGGAAAACCAGGACGGTTGCGATTAGGACGAGGAGCACAGCCCCCCCCACCGCCGTCCTGCCTTTGGGCGTTTTGAACACTTTTTACAAGTTAAGTGCCAATTTTTCATGAAGACCACATTTTTGGGCCTGTGGTGAGATGAAGAAGAAACGTAGACTCGGTTCTGTTTGGGTCACGTGTATTTATTCCGTCTAATATTAAATAAAAACAAAAAAAATGGCTTTGACAATCCTAAAGTCGTGGTGAGCGTTGACTCTTCAGGAGGCCCGTTTGAGCGCGTGGGAACAACGAAAGCATTAAAAGTGTCAAATGAAAAGAAAAAAAAAATCCTTCCTGCTATTTTGGTTGCAGAATGTGAAGAAGAGGAACAGGAAGAAGTGTCGCTTAGTGCATAGTTGGAAGCGCTGAGGTCGGCGTGTCTCGTTGCGCGGCATCACAGGCCGCACGCGCGCTTTGAACGGGAGAGCCTGCCGTCACCGCGCTAAGCTACCCGGAATGTGTGCAAAAAGGGCGACTCTTGGCATTTTCTTCCCCTCGCCAGCCGAATGACGTTTCTGCACACGAGTAGGACAAATTTGGCAGATTGGTAGGACGACGACATATGTCACAAGTAGTGAGGCAAATCTGCAGACGTACTTGAATGATGTCACTTTGTCGTACGGGTCGCCAACGAGTGCGCTGCTTTTTGTCCTACTAGGGAGGCCAAATGTTGCCAGTCAGACAGTGACCAGCGCACACGCGTAGAATGACTGCGACTTCACATTTTTCCCCACTCTGCGCAAGTACGACAACTTTGGCAAACTCGTCGTGAGGCAAAACTACTAGTTGACGTTTTGTAGCAACCGCAAAGGTCCAGGCGTCGACCACATCAGAAAAGCAAGAGTGGCCTCGATGACCTTGCACGAGTGCACGGGCCTTCAATCAGATAGCAAGCAGTCAATCCTGAAGCGGCCCTCCATGCCCCGCGGGATGCCTCCTTCACGGACGGCACCCGTTGCCATGGTTATGGCAAACAAACAAACCACGCGCTGACAGGTGAGGCCCGCCATCCATCCAATCGCCCGTCGCGACTCCACGCCCTCTTTTCTCCTCAGATCCCATCTTGGAAAACCAGGACGGTTGCGATTAGGACGAGGAGCACAGCCCCCCCCACCGCCGTCCTGCCTTTGGGCGTTTTGAACACTTTTTACAAGTTAAGTGCCAATTTTTCATGAAGACCACATTTTTGGGCCTGTGGTGAGATGAAGAAGAAACGTAGACTCGGTTCTGTTTGGGTCACGTGTATTTATTCCGTCTAATATTAAATAAAAACAAAAAAAATGGCTTTGACAATCCTAAAGTCGTGGTGAGCGTTGACTCTTCAGGAGGCCCGTTTGAGCGCGTGGGAACAACGAAAGCATTAAAAGTGTCAAATGAAAAGAAAAAAAAAATCCTTCCTGCTATTTTGGTTGCAGAATGTGAAGAAGAGGAACAGGAAGAAGTGTCGCTTAGTGCATAGTTGGAAGCGCTGAGGTCGGCGTGTCTCGTTGCGCGGCATCACAGGCCGCACGCGCGCTTTGAACGGGAGAGCCTGCCGTCACCGCGCTAAGCTACCCGGAATGTGTGCAAAAAGGGCGACTCTTGGCATTTTCTTCCCCTCGCCAGCCGAATGACGTTTCTGCACACGAGTAGGACAAATTTGGCAGATTGGTAGGACGACGACATATGTCACAAGTAGTGAGGCAAATCTGCAGACGTACTTGAATGATGTCACTTTGTCGTACGGGTCGCCAACGAGTGCGCTGCTTTTTGTCCTACTAGGGAGGCCAAATGTTGCCAGTCAGACAGTGACCAGCGCACACGCGTAGAATGACTGCGACTTCACATTTTTCCCCACTCTGCGCAAGTACGACAACTTTGGCAAACTCGTCGTGAGGCAAAACTACTAGTTGACGTTTTGTAGCAACCGCAAAGGTCCAGGCGTCGACCACATCAGAAAAGCAAGAGTGGCCTCGATGACCTTGCACGAGTGCACGGGCCTTCAATCAGATAGCAAGCAGTCAATCCTGAAGCGGCCCTCCATGCCCCGCGGGATGCCTCCTTCACGGACGGCACCCGTTGCCATGGTTATGGCAAACAAACAAACCAAAAAAAAAAGAAAGGAGAGAGTCATTGCATTGAAGGGCTGCCTTCATTCACGTCCACCTGAGTGTTGTGCATACGTGCGTGTGTGTGTGTGTGAGAGAGAGACGAGCACCGAACAAGAAGCGATGCAAGGACGACTTCTGTGCAGGTTTCCTTGCACGGTGCGCAGTGTGTAAACACGTCCTGTCCTGTCCTGACCAGTCCAGACCAGACCAGCGGCTGCGGGGCGAGGGTTGTTCCCGTCCTGGCCGGTGTCGGCACGCTGGTGGCTCACCTGACGTCGTGGAAGTAGAGGTTGGCACAGAGACACAGCAACACGATAGAAGCCAGCTTGTAGTAGATCAGGTTGCGGAATTTGGGCTCCAGGTCGCCTTGGCGGTACCAGAAGATCTGAGAGGAAAACACCAAATGTGATGATTGGATCATTTTCTATTCAAATTATTCATTAGGGGCGAGACAATCAGGAGGGTTTTAAGTGTGTGTGTGTGTGTGTGTGTGTGTGTGTGTGTGTGTGTGTGTGTGTGTGTGTGTGTGTGTGTGTGTGTGTGTGTGTGTGCGGTGTGTGTGCGCACACCAGCAAAATGGTGGATCCACAGGCGAGCAGGATGCAAACGGCAAAAAAAACGTTGAGCGGCCGCGGAGGCAACGACGGGAAAACGAAAGAGCTGATGACGGTCACCTGCAAGGCAAAAGCAAGCACGTTGGCGCGTCACCCTTTCCAAAATGCATGAAATTCATATTTTGCAATCAAAAAGCTCATCATTCGCTGCAACTTCAACAGCTGCACCGAAACAAATGTTGATGAGGCAACATGGATCGTCGAAGACGATGCCAAGCATACTCAGGGCGAAGATTGGGAATAAAAAGTGCCGACTCAAAAATAGCAGCGTGCATGTAGAGTCGCGCGCGCGCACGTACCAGCACAACTAAAGACGTAAATCCTCCCACTGCCAAGTTGATGATGCGATCCTGCGAAAGAATAACAAAACACATGATTGCGTGATAAACATCAAAGCATTCAACATTTCCGTGGCAAAGTGATGGAGGATAAAGAATACATGCCTACGACTATTGTCATATTGCCTGCGTTGCTCCCCAATTTGGATTCAAACATCCGTCGCTTCAAGAGTTGCAACGCTGCCACTCGCAATGCTAGGTGTTAGCCTATCCTAAGGTAATACCAGGCGAGTGTTTAATAAAATACTCAACCTGCTTGAAGATGATAACCGTCGCATTCAGTTAGCCTCAATTTCCGTAAAATGTTGCGCGCCTTGGCAATCGAGCGTCACCGTACCCTCGCTGACGTCTCGCCGAAGAGAGGTCTGTTGTCCAGGCCGCTGGTGCCATACGTCCTGCTACTGAACTCGTCCATGGCTCATCAGCGCCACCGCCTGCACACGCCGGGCCAGTGTCGCATGCTCGCCCCGCCCGGCCGCCTAGCGTCGCGTCAGGTTGCCGTGCGCAACGGCGAGGGGCTGGCGAGACATTTGGGAGGAGGGGCGAGGGGGGCCACAACGCGTTTGCCTGTGACGCAAACAAAAGTTTCTTTTTTGGTGGTTTGTTTCGCCAAAAACACCAAGCTTGGCGCTTACGTTTTTCCACATTTTGTTGTTACGGAATTAAATACTTTTTTTCCCCATAAAAATTCCACAAGCAACAACCCATTATTACACAACATGAAGAGCGCTTTTCAAATTTATTCAGAATTTTAAAAAGAAATGGTTGTTACGGCCTTACTGCATTCATTTCCCACCCCCTCAAAATTCAACACTTTTGGAAATGTTTGCAAATGTCTAAAAAAAAAGCGAGATATCTTGTATCCACATGGAGTGGAGACAAACCTTTTCCACAGGTTGTTACATTACAGCCTCATTGTAAATTGGAAGAAATGAGTGTTCCCCTCAAATCTACACGCAATACCCCAAGATTGACAGTTGTTATAAATGGACTTTAAGAGAAAAGTGATTTTGAGTGTTCGACTTCCCTTTTCTGTGGGGGGGGCGTAAAGAGGAAGTTGAAAGCACAACAAATCTGGCCTGTGAATGATGCCGACCTTTCACACGCACACAAAGTGCTTGTCGTTGTGGGTCACGTGTTTGCAGGAAGGGTACTGAAACAAGAGGGCCTTTATGAAAACGGCATCTTAAGGGTCCCTAAGCGCCAAAGCGAGCGCATTCCTCTTCGGCCTTGTGATGTTCAAACGTCTTGAAGACGGCAAGCCTGCGGCCGCTCGACTGCTTTTCAAGTGCAAATCAACCGCGGCCATGTGCAGACTGGATGTGAATGTGCGCACACATCTTGTGATCGGCTGGTGGCCAGTCACTTGTTTTCTCGATATTGCACGGTCATTGATTGGAGACCGTTCCAGGTCGTATCCGGCGGAGCCCACACGGGCAGCGCCGAACTATCAACCAATCAGACGCCGGCTCGCAGCCAAGAGAGGGGTACGTGCGCGCGCTATGATTTGCAGTGATCTAACCTTTGACTTGCTGAGGCGACCGGTGTCACAAACCGGAAGTGGGCGCCTAAAAGCAAGGAAAACACACACACGCACCCCTCGATCGTCAAGTGTCAAAGAGCGAGCAACACCCGGAAGATCCTTGTACTAGCGAGAGCTTTAGCAGGCTAATTCCTGCGCGCGGTCACTTGCTTGCAAGGCGAAGCTAACGACGCTAACAATCAGCCATCAATGCGTGTCCTAAAAAAAAAAATCTGTTTTTCTCTAAAGCGTGTTGTTGTCGACGGACAAATGAGAAGACTTGCCTTGCCAGCTGAGCGTCACCTCGGAAGCAAAGGAAACTTTACACTACACATACACACACTTTAAGACACGCAAACGGGATCGATGAGGAATTAAAAGGCAAGGACTTGAGGCCAAGCCGTTAAAGGGGAGTGGCCGCGTGAGTGGGCCGACTTTTTTCTGCGTACCTTTTACGATCACGCTCTGTTCAAAACAATGAACAGACGGAACACGTAATTCCAGACATCTTGAAAAACAGAACACGTCGTGACTGACCCCGATCAGGAAAACAATTAAATGCAGGGTACGTTGTGGAGCGGGGTTGGACTAAAAATAAAACAATTGAACAAATTAAATCATTTCGGATTTTCATTGAGTTAAAAAAAAAACAACACCAATTCTTAATTACAAAACATTTTCTGATAGATTTGATTAGTTCTTTTTCTTTTAATAATGCAACCTCGACTTGTAGTAAGCGTTTACGCCCCAAGGTGGAGGTAGCGATCAGAGTGACTGAGGAGAATACAGTACTGTAATGCTAGTATAAAATATCGTTGACATACATTGACAAAATTCTTCTTTTTTGTATTAATTTTGTGAAGAGCGCTATGATTGTACGCTGTTGCTATTTGTGCCTTCGATATTTACTCGTGAAACAGCAATTACGTATTTTAACAGCGCGCCCGAGTAGTCCACTGCATAAAAAAAAAAGATTAGTTCGCTCATTTTCTGCAGTATAGTGGGTGAACAAATATGCAGTTGAAAAAACGTATTTCGCTTCGACTGTATTTAATTTGTTTGAATCGTCGGGAAAGAGTTAATGATGACGCCATGGAGGTCGACGGTGTGACGGTCGGAAGCGTCACTCCGATGATGAAGATGATGAGGAAGAGCATCTGCGGCATCATGTCAGCAGGTAAATTCATCATTCGTCGTCCCATCATATCGTGCTAATATGTGACGAGCATGTTCAAGGTCGTTTACATATCCGTGGCAACCACCACAGCCACAGTGCCAAGTCAGAGAGCAACATGCCGACGTCACTGCTAGCGTGCATGTGATCACAGGAGCTGTAAAGTCATGCATTTTCGGTACGGTTTGTCCTCAGAAGGGTCTATTCCTACCAGGGGGGTGTGCGACACCCCGGATTGGTCGCCGGCCAATGTCAAACAACGGAATGGTGATTAATATTCATCAACACAAATGATTAACCCCTACTCGATGACCTTTAGGACGATGATGCAGAGGAAGAATCTTCCTGGTAGCAGCCTGCCCACGGCTTGAGGAACCCCAGGAGCAGCCAGGGCCCCCAAACATGGACGGACTGCGGCTGCCCCCCCTCATTGAGGAGGTTCTGGACTCCTGCGGTCAGTGGGCACAAATCGCACAAAAAGAAACTTGTTGGCGTTCACTTTCAGATATGTATGAGAGAGAGAGCATTTTCAGAGTGGAAGCGGGTGTGATGCGTGAGAGCTCATTCGGATGTCTTTCCCCGACACCCGCCCATCCACACATTTCACGTATCTCATAGATGTCTTCAAAACCAATCATGCCCCGCGTTTTGTTTGGCAGGCCAGCCGAAGGACGATATGTATGAGAGGACACAAGATGGAGGATTGGGCGAGGAAGCGGCGGGCGTGGAGGAGCTTCGACTTCGCCTTGTGGAGCTCCTGATGGAGTTGGAGGAGACACAGCAAGACTCACGCAGACACAAGGAGAACTTTCTGGAAATGCGCAGTGAGAAGCTTTAACTCGCCGCCTGTTATTCAAAGTTCTTCATGAGGTTCTTCTTGATGTTGTTCTTGACGTTGTTGTCAGCCATGTTGGAGGACGAGCGAGCGGCTCGCGCCCGCCAGGCAGAAGCGTTCAGCCGACAAATTGAAGCTCTGAAAGGTACCAGCCTTCATGGCGCGCCAACCTTTTTTAAAACTCCCATTCGAGAAAGCTGTTTGAATCAATCTTTTCATTTGGTTGCTGTCCACCTTCAAGTCCATGTACTAATACGCTCCTTGTCCTTTTTCGCTCTACACCTCTTGTTGTGTTAGTTTTAGTCACGGAAGATGTAATTAGTTTTCCTTTTTTTGTTGTTGTTGTTATTCAATTTTAGCTTGACTTTGATTGTTAGTTTTGGTCACTCTGATCACCTCGGTGCTGACTGCCTGCAGTCGATTTGGTGGGCGCCCGGCAGGAGCTGGCGGTGGCCGAGCATGAGAAACAGTGCGAGCTGGAGGAGGCCCGAGCGGAGCTGCGGTGGGCGGCGGAGGCAGCGCTGGAGCTGCAGGAGGCCGGCGAGGAGGCGGCGGCAGAGCGGGAGAACGACATCGCCTGCCTACAGGAGGAGCTGTGTCGCCTGCGGGTGCAGCTCCAGCGCCTGCGTGACGAGGCGGGCCAGCACGAGGCCGAGGTCGCCACATTGAGGACGGAGAGCGGTAACGGACAGAGTTGCAATCGCTTAACTAAATTTAGTAAATGACTGCTCAAGGAAACAAATCCACGAGGCCGGTCAACGGAGCTCGTTGGAAGTCAGGAAGTGCCACATGGACAGAGCTGAGTTTGTGGTGATTGGCATAATTGCTCATCCCCTGAAGGTGGAGACCGAGCGAGTCTGGAGGAGGAGTTTGCCTCTCTGAGCCGCGAGCATCTTCTGCTGAGCGATGCCAACCGGGATCTGAGCTCCAAAGTGAGACAGGAGGAGCAAGAGCAGCCGGGTCACATGTGAGCGCTCCACTCGGTTGTCAATCAAAGCACAGAGTGGTCAGTACCTGTCAATCTCACCTGAAGCTCTCTCCCCCACCACCACACACACACACACACACACACACACACCGCCCCCACCCCTGCATGCCAGGACGGAGGACGACGCCTACATCAGTCTGTGCCGGCCCGCTCCCAGTCTTCCGGACGTCGGAGATCTTCAGATGCAGCTGCAGCGAGCCCAGGACAGCGGGCTCCAGGTGCAGACCGAGGTACCGTCATGTCGCGCGCACCTCGCAGGACACGAGGCGTTCGTGTCATCGCTGACGCCCGTGTTTGTGTCGCTACGTCAGCGCGAGCGCGTGAAGCGTTCACTCAGCTCACTTCAGGCTCTCCATGATGACAGCCGGCACGAGTGCGCCGCCCTGGAGGAAGAGCTGCGTCGCTGCAAGGCGGAGCTGCGGCGGCTGCGTGGCGAGAAGACGCAGGTGCGGGTGAGTGGCGTGTTCAGGAAGGGAAACGCACAAGTGACGCTGATTAGTTGCTCAGATTGGGGGAGCGGTTGGGAAAATTAGCATGTAAATTACATGACTTGAGCATTTTTTCACAAAGACGGTTTATTTATTTATTTTTAAAATCGCATCCACTAATAGGTTGATTTATTGTCAGCAATTTTTTTCAACCTCAAAAATCGGACATCCTGCTCCCATATGATGTCGCCACCTCCTCGCCACCTGTCACCTGATTGGCCCTCCTCTTGATATCTCTTGGGTGTCACACATGGCCATTTCCTTGTGTGTGTTTGTGATGTGTCGTCTTCAGGGCCCCGCCGAGCCCCCATTAGCGTCGGCCCCCCTGCTAGGCGTCATTGTCATAGTGGCCTTGATGTGGTGCTGGTGGGAGGAGCTGATGTCCTAGAAAATGGGAGCAGGTAATGGCTGAGACTTGCTCGTCCAACCGACTATCAGCCCCGGCTTGTACGTGTCGCTGCCTGTCGCCACATTGCTCGGCGCGTTGACGGTGAAAGCGCATCGCCACTTTCCCCGCCATCAATGTTCTCTCCTTCCTGTCTTTCAGGGCGACGCGGGAGGTTGGAACCTTGTGCCGGTGGCGGTGATGGTGGCAGCCATCTTGGTTCTGGTGGTCCCCAGTTTGACCCGAGCTTGACAGGAAGTGCCATCATGGAACCCAGACACGGAGCAGGTCGTCAATGGATCCATTTTGGAACTTTTGACCAGAACCATCCAGACAGACATTCGCTTTCCATTTCGCTTATCCTCATTGATTCATTCACTGCTAATCCATTTCAAATGGATCTTTGGCATCTAGAGCCGTCAATGGCGGTGAATGCGTTAGGGTTGTGGGTCTGACTTGGGGTGAGAGGCCATTTACACTCTGGACTGGTCGCCACCCGACCACTTGGCACTTATCCGCACACAATGGACTGGTTGCCAGTGTACGTCAGGGCCCATATCGGCAAACGGACTCGTCGACAGTCCTTTTTAAGGCGCAAATAGAAAAACCATAGACCAGTCAACTGTTTATGGCAAGGCAGATTTAGGCCAACAATAGACTGGTCACCAGCATATAGAAAAATCGGGACAAATGTTGGAACTGTTCCGCAGCCAATGTGTTGGCATCAAACACATCATGAACACTCCTCAATAGTAAGAGTCTTATCCATGACTTCTTCGTTTAAATGTGGCATGCTTCTTCTCATTACTGTCGCCAATGCTAACTGTTGGCCGAGTTTAGTTCTCTGCCCGACGTAACCTGAAGCTAACGGCAAGCACGCTCATGTAAATGATGTCACGCTTGTGTCTCGTGTAAACAGCCAATAAACCGCACTCCCAATGTGACACGGTCTCCATGGTGACCAACAACAGCGGTCACGTGCGGCGTCTGTTGTCTGTCGTGCTTCTCCTCATTAGGGTTGTGGTGGGCGACTTGGGGGATATCCCATTTGAATTTGGGTGAGAGAAGGAACGGTAGACAAACAAAGGACCGGTCGCCAGCACAGAGACAAACAACCGCCACGCAGGAAGTCTTCACACGGATTCAAGACACCAACCTTCAACCGGGGAGGCATTTATGCGAACCGCTCTTCTAACCACGCTGCATGATCACAAGTAACATTTGTGAAACAGCAAGAATAGATCAGCTGATGACATCACGGCACCCAGTGTGTCCTTCCGAAGCATGAACTCTAAAAATAGAACTCAGCCGACACCACCCCCCGACCCCCGGGTCTCCCCCC